CCACGAGGGGCATGGCCTCGGGGACCAGACTGAAGGTTCAGCAGGTACTCGGGAAAGGGAGCAGGGACCCTGGGAAGTGGCAGCCAAGGATGCTCCGGTTGGAGGTGGGCCTCCTGCTAGGGGCTTCGAAAGACCACAGAAGGGTTCGGCCAGGCTGAGAAGGGGCAAGAGCACTGAAGGAACTGGAGGCCGTGGGCACTGAGGGGTCTGTGGGAGGCAGAAAAGAGCCCCTGGGCCTGGATGCGAGGGCTGGCTCACAATGGCAGAAGGAGTAGGGCCAAAGGACCCCAGACAGTCGGTGGACCAGCTGGGACTTGAAGGGCTGGGAATAGCAGAGGAGCAACCTGATCTACTCGGATTTTTAGGGTGTGAGCTCATGGTTTGTGAGGACCCTGGTGAGGCCACCCCTTTCCTGTCATGGTGGGGAAGTCGCCCCCGAGAGATTCCACCATTGGCAGTCTGTGCTCTCCCGTCACCTGTCCCAGGGCGGCTTAGGCCTGCCACACTGCTGTCTTCTTCCTCTGTAGAGGGGTTAGCTCCCCAAACGTGCACCTTGCCCTCCAGAGGAAGAGTGTTCCTTCCCTGAAGCCCTGTTGCTGCCCCTCCACCCGCACGCACCGTCTCTCACCCTTAATGCCCTTCTGCAGGGTCACTCTGCAGCCGGAGAGGGACAGCTCCACAGTTCAACCCAGTAAATAGTTGCTGGCCATGGGCTGACTCTGAGCTGCCCAGTCCAAAGGGGACAGCTGTGGTCCTGGCCCGTAGGAAGCTTGCTGTCAGTGGGAAGGTTAAAACAAAAACCCCTTGTTCCTGACCAGGGCGACAGGGATGAGGGGACCCAGGGTGAGAGCGCCCCACTGGATGAGACAGGGTTGGGTTTTCCCATCAAGGGGGGTCTGGGGTCGCCTTGAAGCCTGGGCAGGGTTTTGAAAATGAGAGGCAAAGAGAGAAGGCCCCACGGCCTTGGTGACCCCTCGTGAGACCAGGTCCCGCCACCTCACCCTCCCGGACCGGCAGCTCCGGGCAGGAAGATCAACACTCCATAAGCACGTCCAGGCCCCTTGCTCTCTGTGGATGGTTCCTGAATGCTTACTGCAGCTCTGCCTGGAACTACATACGCACAGGCTGAGCCCCAGGCCGCCAGGGAACCTGTAGACACGCCGGGAGCCCCTCTCAAGACAGGCCAGCGCCCCAGTCCCACCCGGCAGTGCGCTTCCAAATCCCCTCCATGGCTTGCTGCCTTGCTGAGTGCTTAGGGGCTTCACTGTCTCTATATTGGCTGGAGCCAAAAGAAGCTTCTGGTAAAGAGGTCAAAATGAGCAGAAAAGAGACAACTCTGAAATACATACCGAAGCCCAAGGGAGCTGAAGTCCGAGTTACCTGCAGTCATGTATCTCCTCCCACTTAGTGTGGCTAATTCCGGGTCCGTAAGTCTAAATTAACCCCGGGCAGGAGTCTGTGCAGAAGCCCAGGGAAAATGGAGGGCGGCAAGGCTGGTGCAGAGTCCTGCCTTCTGGAGTTGGGGCTCGGGTGATGAAAGGGAAGGTGTGGGTGCCAACAAGGGCTAAGAGAGGTCACCAGCTCCTCTCCACCCACAGGCCTTGGATGATGCCAACAAGGGTATCATCGAAGAGCTGAAGAAAACAGACTACAGGGAGACGCTGAGAGAAAAGAGAGAGAGAGGTGAGTGCCAGGAGGTAGCGCCGGGGTCCCCGTCTGCGCTCTCCAGCAGCTCTTCCAGTCCCGGGGTTGGGTTCCCTGGGGCAGGAGAAGGAGGTCCAGCCTGTGCCCACTGCCCTGAGAGCCCACTTCTGTATTTCTCCATCTCCAGGTATTAGTTAAGCACTCGTCATGCGTTGGGAAAGTGTGGGATTTGGGAGAGACAGAGGTTCGGCCCCTGCCCCAGAAGAGCCCACAGCCCAGGGGCAAAGCCAGGAGATTTGAGCTGTCAGCAGAGGGGCTCCTGCCTGCGTGCGGGAAGCAGCAGGAGCAAAGACGCGGGGGCGGGGGGGGGGTGCCACAGGATGACAGTTCTACTCAGCTTCTGCCCGCCCCGCTGTGGTCTATCACCCTGGCAGCGCGGCGGTGACCCCTCCGGGCACCCAGGCACAGGGGGAGATCGGGTGTGAGGTTTCTGGGTGCCCCAGCAGCCAGATGACAGCCCTTTATTATGCAGCGCCTGCCATGTGGTGGCTGGGTCTCCTCAGGGAGGGCATCTGCCTCTGCTCCCACAGGCCCTTAGAGCTGCTCTCGGGAGCCACCGGGGCAAGAGAAGCTCCCAGCGGCCTCCCATCCCCTTGGCAGGCTACGTGCCGGGGTGGCCCTGCGGACCACGGCAGCTGCCGGGCACTTCGCCCCCGGACCGGCAGGCGGCAGCATTGCCCAGGTCTTCACGGCCACGCGGCGGCCTCTTCCCTGCTAGGAACCTCGGGCCCCGGCAGGCATCTTAGAGACCAGGGGCTTCCAGGAAGAGAGTATGGGGGAGACTCAGGAGGGCACTGTGACTTTTCTCTGTAGCTCATAAAAACATGGAGCAAGCGTCCTTTTGATCATAAAAATAGCTCCCCAGCTGAACTTCCTGCTAACAGTCTGCTCATATTTTGATAGGGAACCTCCCAGTAAATGATGAATGTGCTTCCCAGGGACAAAGAATAATGCAGAATGAGGATGCTGGAGAAAAGAACCTGTGTTATTTCTCGTAGGGAAAGAGAGTGTGCTCTGAGAGCAGACCGTCCTGAGTTCAAATTCTGGCCCTGCCATTTATTTACTGGCAGCGCGACCACTGGCTGTGATTTCTCCGTCATCAGTCTCAGGTCCTTTGACGACGAACTCCAGTCACTGACACTATGCCATGAATTCCATGACAACTGCGTGACATCACCTCTGCAGCCTGCCAGATGCCTGGAACAGGGCTGGTGCTCAGGAAACAGTGACCCGCTGTCTCTCAGAAGCACAGGCCCCCAGGGGCTGAGGTGCCCCCAGGCCCAGAGATGGACAAACTTTTACTTTTCTTCCCTCCTTTCTCTTGTTTTTCAGAAGAGGCCGCTGAATTGGAAACCTTGAGAGCGGCGGCGGCAGGGAAGGAGAAGGAAAGCACGAGAAGAGGGAGAGACGAGCCCGAGAAGGTGATGAAGCACTGGGAGCGAGAGACAGCTGACAGTGAGAAAGAGACAGAAGATGAGTTGTCTCAGGAAACTTTGAGGGTCGCAGCGAGTGGACAAGAAGAAAACAGGCAGAGAGAAGTAGGGGAAGCCAGCTCCTTCAGAACAGGGCTGGGAGCCACAGGGCAAGACTCAGGAGATGTTGCCAAGAGAGTGTCCAGAGACCTGGGCACAGAAAGCGAAGGAGAGGAGGACGGGAAACCGTTAGAAGTGGGCAGAATGGAATCAAGAGAAATTTACAGGAGGCCTTCAGAGCTGGACCAGAAACCCTCAGCAGAATTAAGCAGAAGGGAATCAGAAGGACTGGAGAGTCAAGTTTCAGAAGACAACAGAAGAGAGTCAGAAGAAATAGGGAAAACAGAACTGGGAGAAACAGCAGAAGTGACAAAGGCAGAAAATGGTGAAAACGTGGAAGAAGGTGAAAAAGAAGATGAATGAAGCAGCAGGCATCAGGACCAGGGGCCTCGGGGATCTTATTCAACTGGACTTGAAATTTCAGGCTGAGATATTTCTTTCATAGGAGAACACATGGACTGGGCTCCTCCACAGGTCGCCTCTGCCTCTTTCTGTTACTGTTTTCCTTTCAATAGATACCTTTCACTCTTACAAATCCCGAGTCTGTCATTTTGCCTCCCTGCTCACCCACAAGAGCCTTAGAGAATGAGGACCCGACTCGGGGTACCACTCTCCAAGCAGAACGCTGACCTTACCCTGGCCAGGTGACAAACACAGACTCCAAGCAAGGCCTGATCCAGAGTGTGATCAAGGTGGGAAATGTGCTCCTCTGCCCTGGGCCTGTCCAGGGACCTCATGGAAGAAATGATAGGGGTGCAAAGCAGAAAGCATTTCAGGATGGTGAAGAAACAGGTGAGCTCCAAGGGACCAGGCTAGCTTAAAGGGGAAGAAAAGGAAAGGCCTGGGAGTAGAGGTACGTCTGGGCAGCCACTGGCCGTGGGTTCATCTTACTGAGTGCCTGCTATGGGCAGGGCACTGTGGGAGGCTTGATGGGAGAAGTGATGATGGGTCACGCTGAGGACTGGCAGGCACGATGAAGTGAACGCTGGCATTGACAGGGGCACTGTGCTCGAGGAGCCCAGAGAAAGAGAGTTCCTGCCCGAGAACAGGGAGCCGTCCCCAGGAGGAGGGGCGGCTGGACTCCACCCACACCACCTCCAGGAGGTACAGTCAAGTAAATCCGTGAGCTGGTTTCCTCCTCCGTAGAACGGGTATCTAACTCCGGGGTTGGCGTCAGGCTTCTGTGAGTGCTCAGCACAGCACCTGGTACACGGGAAGCTCTCCAAAATCCGACCGAGCTTTAGGTGGCTTCACAGAGGAGGTGGCAGCTGAACAGCTGCCTCAGAGGATGAGCTAGGATTTCACTACATTATTCATTTGTCTCCTGGCTATTGCCACCCTGGTTCCATCTCTACAGTCCTTGGAAAGGTTAGGGCTGAAGTTAGGCCAGCTAGGACCAGACCCCGACTACTGTGAGGCGAGTGAGGCATTTCAGATGCAATATTTCACGGGGCGCCATGAAACTCACTAAGCAACATATAGTATGTTAATGTAATGTTGTAAAACACACACACACCGCAAAACCCCCACGAGGAATACAATATCACAATTTTAAATAAAGACCGGATCTGACCTTGCATTTGCAAGACCCTGCCTCCCTGGCCTCATCCCAACCCCGGCGCGGGGCCGGGGAAAGGTGACTGCCTCCCTCTGTCTAGAGTTCCTCGGGACCTCACCAGGGCACATGTGCGCCGCGGCCGCCCGGGGCGGGACGCGCGACCACTTCCTCTCCGCGCCGAATCAGTTTCGGGTTTCGATTCGCCGCGCCTGCGCGGAGAAGCCCCGCCCCGCCCCCGGGCTATGTAAAGCGGCCTGGCGCGCGGTCGGGCCCCCGCTGAGCTCCGTGTCCCTCCGCGCAGGCGGGCGGCCCCGGAGAGCTAGTGCCTGCCGAGGCGGCCGCGGCGGCGCCCCCCTCATCATGGTGAGCGGGCGCGGACAGGCGGGAGGGGCGGGGGCGCGCCCGGGAAGCACCCTGACGGAAAACGGGAGTTCGGGGGGATTTTCGGGAGGAAGTGGCATGCAAATGAGGACCCGAGGTTCCGGAGTTGAGCTCTGGCTTGCTGGGCCGTGGGGTGCAGCCCGAGGAAGGGGAGCCCCGGGCCGAGTTGGGGAGCGGGCACGGCCGCTGGAGGAGCGCGGGGTCGGGCGCCGCGGGAGCTCGTGCCACCGAGTGTGGCCCGGGGCTAGTGCGGGGCGGGCACTGTCGCCTGCTCCCGCCCGAGGGCCTTCTCTGAGAAAAGCCGGTGCCCGCGCCGCGCTCGGGCTGCCGCCGGGAGGTGCAGCCGCGTTAGAGGAGACCGCTCACCGCAACAGGTGGTGTCACTTGTGGCTTTTAGCAGGAAAGCAAGTGGCTCAGAGAGGTGCTGCTGACACACAGCAAAGTGGGGCGCAGAGCTGGACCCCGGACGCAGGTGCCCTGGGGCGCCCAGTCCTGGGGCAGGCACAAAGACCACGCCTTTGTGGGGGGCCGAGGGGCAGGGGAGGCGGCGGCAGGCGTGGTGAATGAGGCCCTTTGTCCGGCGCTCTCCTGCCCTGCCTCCCACCAGCCCTTCTGTGGGACCATTGTCCCCCCCATCCCAGACAAGAGAGTATTATCTGTTGCCGCCCTTGTGGGGGCAGGGGAGGCAGTCTTCGGGTAACCCTTCTCCACCCCCAGCCTCCTCTGCGCACCCGGAGCCCGGGCAGCTGTGCCTTCGCCCAGACAGAGCAGCCCCACCTCCAAAGAGGGCATCCTTAGTAGGTGCCGGGACTCCAACGTCAGGGTCCGCTGCAGAGGCACGGGCCTGCGCTTCCAGCAGCTTCCCCGCTGAGGGGCGGCAGCAGTGGGGGATCCTTGAAGCCTCAGCTCTGACCAGCGGGAATTAGGGGCTGGGGAACCTCAGACGAGCTCTCCCGTCCCTCCTGCACCACCACCCGCTGGCGGCGCCCCGGCCGGAGGAGGAGAAGGTCCAGTCCTGGGCTTGGGAAGGTGCCCACCGCTCGGGGGGCGCTTATGACTCAGGGCTGGGAGGCCCAAGGAGAACGAGGCCAGAGTCAAGGGGGCGAGGCCGGTGGGGTGGCCTCGAGCGAGCCGGCTGACATCTGCTCTTGCCCTCCTCACACACAGAACAGAAGCTTCTCCCGAAAGAGCCACACGTTCCTGCCCAAGATCTTCTTCCGCAAAATGTCCTCCTCAGGGGCCAAGGACAAGCCTGAGCTGCAGTTTCCTTTCCTGCAGGATGAGGAGACCGTGGCCACGCTGCAGGAGTGCAAGACCCTCTTCATCCTGCGCGGCCTGCCCGGGAGCGGCAAGTCCACCCTGGCGCGGGTCATCGTGGACAGGTACCGGGACGGCACCAAGATGGTGTCCGCCGACGCCTACAAGATTACCCCCGGGGGCCGAGGAGACTTCTCGGAGGAGTACAAGCGGCTGGACGAGGACCTGGCCGCCTACTGCCGCCGGGACGTGCGCGTCCTGGTGCTGGATGACACCAACCACGAGCGGGAGCGGCTGGAGCAGCTCTTTGAATTGGCCGACCAGTACCAGTACCAGGTGGTGCTGGTGGAGCCCAAGACGGCGTGGCGGCTGGACTGCGCCCAGCTCAAGGAGAAGAACCAGTGGCAGCTGTCGGCCGACGAGCTCAAGAAGCTGAAGCCGGCGCTGGAGAAGGACTTCCTGCCGCTCTACTTCGGCTGGTTCCTGACCAAGAAGAGTTCCGAGAGCCTCCGCAAAGCCGGCCAGGCCTTCCTGGAGGAGCTGAGCAACCACAAGGCCTTCAAGAAGGAGCTGCGACACTGTAGGTGGCGGGCGGGGGCCGGGGTGCGGGCAGGTAGCGGCCTTTCCAAGCCTCCCTCGCTGGGCTCGCGGTGCTGAGCGCCCGGGACCGCCGCTGCCCTCCCAGCACCGAGTGAGGCTGCAGGGGTGGAGGCAGAGGCGCAGGGGGACGGGGGGGGAGAGCTGCTTCCCAGGGACCCCTCTCCTCTCAGGGCGCCCCCTCCTCCCTGCCCCCCTGGATGGAGACCACTGGCCCTGTCTTTGGATGGGGGGAGGGACAAATTCCCCGCACCACGGGAAGCATGTCCACATTTCCTACCACCTGAGAGGGAGAACCTGATTCGATGTTTCTACCTTGTGTTCAGCTGCAGAGCTATCTTTCTGAAGTAGAATATTCCATGGAGGGGCGCCCGGCTGGCTCAGTGGGTAGAGCCTGTGACTCTTGATCTCGGGGTCATGAATCCCAGCCCCATGTTGGGTGGAGAGATCACTAAAAAAGGAAGGGGCGCCTGGGTGGGTCAGTTAAGCGACTGACTCTTGATTTTAGCTCAGGTCATGATCTCAGGGTCATGAGATCGAGCCCCGCGTTGGAGCCTGCTTAAGATTCTTTCTCTCCTCTCCCTCTGCCCGTCCCCCGTCCTTCTCTAAATAAATAAATAATAATCTAAAAAAAATATTCCACGGAATCCTAAGCTGCAAAAAAATGACAACTAAGACTATTGTGACTTGACTGGGTATGGTGCCAGGTCTCGGGCTGCCCAGTGCACCTCCTGTGGCCTCCCGCAGCTCCAGAGAACGGCCACACGCCTAGTCCAGACCCCTCGTTTTGCGGAGGGGAAAACGCCCAGGAGGGCGGTGGGATTTGCCCAGAGCCATGGTGAGAGCCCTGGACTCTGTCAGCTCTAGCAGGGGCCTCCCCATGTTGGGTGGGACCTCTCCTGGGAAGGGCTGTTTGCTCTGGGGAAGGGTAGGTTTGGGATAAGGGAGGCCTTCATTTTCCTGCAGTGGCCTCTTAGGGATATGTCACCCACTAATCTGTCCCTTTAACCCATTTCTGGTGTCCCCAAATTTTAGATTATCTTCCTCCTTGAAATATCCCCACCCATATTTCTGTGTTGTTTCGGGGGCAAAATCTGTGCCTGGGTATGTGCTCAGAGGTCTCTTCTTGGCTCCTAAAGCTGGAACGCTGGGAAACCAGGGAACCGTGACGCCCGCAGTGATGTTGTCCGGGTGTGAGCCCTGCACCTGGAATTGCTTGGCAGAAAAGCACCCTACAGGCAGGGCCCCTGGTTAGAGCTGCTCTGCCTCTTGAAGCTGCCTTTACCACTAAAAACTGCCGCCCTTTCCTGCCTAGGACACATGCGCCTGTTCTCAGAGCACAACTGTCCCTCCTCTGTGGAGGGTGAGGGATATCCTCGCAGGGACTCAACTCTGGGAGTAAATACAACAGATCTAGTGACTCTGAAACGAGCCCTAAGGCCTGGAGTCTGGAAACTGAAATCACAGATAGCCCAGGTCTCACCATATAATATCTCATTATATCCCAAGACCCTTCCTACTCTAGGCCCTTTATAGGCTCTCATCCAAACAGGCCTGCACGGTCCATGTTCTAGTGACCAGGTAACTTCTGGTCCGGGTAGGCCCAAGTGAAAGGGGGCTCGGCTAAGAGTTCCCCGGGTGGTCCTGGGAAAATGGGTGTATGGTCACCCTAATGGTACTTGATTGACAGAAAAGGGTCAATCATGTGCCCCAGGCCAAAGGACTTAAGCTCTGACTCCTTCCATCATACGACAGTTCCAACGTTCTTTTGCCTTTCTACCCCATTTCTCATGACTTGCTTCCCTCTTCCAGATGTGTAGCTGATAAGGCCGAGAGTCCCTTGGCCTATGCTGCCTATCCCTGGGTTACGAGTGTGTCACTTTCCAAATCTGAAGAGGGATGTAAAAATCTACATAACATGAAACCAGGGAATTTAGACACCTTTTTGTAGCTTTGACGTGGCTGTTGGTTTGACCAACTAAGGAAGGAGTGGATTATGGTGGATTGCCGAAAAACTTACACTTGACGTCGTTTTTTTTCCCTCCGAGCCTCCACGGTCTTGGTGACGGGTATTAGGATGGCCCCTGCTCTCCTGTCCTGACCTCCCCCTTCTCTCTCTCCCTGCAGTTGTCTCTGGGGATGAGCCCAGGGAGAAGATCGAACTGGTCACCTACTTCGGGAAGAGACCCCCAGGTGTGCTGCACTGCACAACCAAGTTCTGTGACTACGGGAAGGCTGCGGGGGCAGACGAGTATGCCCAGCAGGATGTGAGTGCTCTCCGGGGACGCCCGGCTGAGGTGGGGAGAGGGCAGGGTCTTCTGGAAATGGGGACCGGCTCAGGCGGGGACCAGAAGCCAGACAGCCTCTCAGGAAAAATGGCATCCCCTGCTCCAGCTCGCCCCCTCCCCAGGCTCAGTCACACAGAGGCCAGCGGCCCTGTCTACCCGCCCGCCCCCAGCACTGCCACCAGCCTGCGCGCTCGCCCCCAAGGCCTGGCCGCCAGTGCCTTTTCCTGCTGCAGACTGAGGGCCGGCAGCAGGCTCCCGCAATGGCCTCTGAGCCTGTGTGGAGTTCCCAAGGTTAGGTGGCCCCAGCCCCCAGCGAGCCTGGTGCTCGGAGGTCCCGGTCCCCAGGCCTGGCCTTGCCCTGGAGGAGGGCGCATTGAGGCGTAGTGGGGCTCTTGGCTTCGGGTGCCACACCTTTCCCTCCTCCCACTCAGCCGCTCTCTTCGGCCCGCAGCCTCCGATGCGTGGTCCTTAAGCCACAGGCACGTGGCCCGGCCCCTGGTGGCCTTCTGGGCGAGGCCTTCCTCCACCCCCGACCCGATCCCCCACTTGTCCGCCCCGGTTAACGCAGCAGCCGTTTTCCTGATTGTTCGTTGGTCCCCCCGCTTGCAGTCTTCCGTTGGGCTTGCGGTCGTACCGCGGCACCTAGCAGAGCCGCGTGGCTGCGTGGGTAACGTCCGGACCGGCTCAGCCATTCGTGCGCTCGGCCGTGTTTATTAAGCACCGGTGAGGCACCAGGCACGAGGGACTGTGAGCACAGATAAGAGACCCTTTATGGTCGGTTGGGAGAGGTGGTCGGAGAGTCAGCTAGAAGCAGATGTAAACCAAGGCGTACGAGGTGGATTTTGATCCGAGGCATTTATTTCTGACCTCTGGGACACTGCCTGGGGCACTCAGGTGGCTTTTACCCGGATGAGCTGAGTAGCAGTGACAATAGCACTCGTCACGTGCCTGTCACTGTTCTAGAATCTTCACCCAGACTCTCGTTTAATCCGGACCCTGAGGTAGGTTCCAGCATCGTCCCCGTAGAACAGGTGAATGAGCCAACGCAGCAAGGTTCCAGGGCCGCTGGGAGGTGGGGCACCAGGCTCTGAGTCGGGCAAGTCTGGCCTTCGGCACCGCCTGTGCCCTCCGGCACCTCCGGCACCTCCAGCGTCTCACATCAGCCTCGCCCGCGTCCGTGGGAAGATGTCCTCCCATGAGACAAGGGCCACGTGTGCCTTTTACCCGAGGGTTCTGCCCAGTGCTGCTCACCTCTGCTAGGCCCATCCTTGGTCAACAGTCTGCTCTGGGGGCCACCACGTCCGGCTTAGCACTGTCATTCTGTCCCCACAGGTCGTGAAGAAGTCTTACTGCAAGGCCTTCACGCTGACCATTACTGCCCTCTTCGTGACGCCCAAGACTACGGGAGCCCGGGTGGAGCTGAGCGAGCAGGAGCTGCCGTTGTGGCCAAATGACGTGGACAAGCTGTCCCCCTCTGACAGCCTGCCCCGGGGGAGCCGGGCTCACATCACCCTTGGCTGCGCGGGTGACGTGGAGCCCGTGCAGACGGGCATTGACCTCCTGGAGATTGTGCGGCAGGAGAAGGGGGGCAGCCGAGGCGAGGAGGTGGGTGAGCTCAACAGGGGCAAACTCTACTCCTTGGGCAATGGGCGTTGGCTGTTGAGCCTGGCCAAGAAGCTGGAGGTCAGGGCCATCTTCACGGGATACTACGGGAAGGGCAAACCTGTGCCCACACACGGCAGCCGCAAGGGGGGCACCTTGCAGTCCTGCACCATCATTTGAGCGTTCTTGCCACCGTCAGCCCCGCCCCGCTCCTAGGAAGGGAAAGGGGGGGCAGAGGAAAGCATGCCTTCTGCCTGATCTTTAAGATTTTTTTTTACTCAGTTAACCTTTCTGTAACTTTTTAAAACCTTGTAAAGTAACTTTTCCTGCCCTCCCTTGTCCCCTCTAACACCCAAGCTTTCACCACAAGACGGGGTGTGGGGAGCGCCGTTCAGGAACCCAGAGCAAAGCCGCAGCCGCAACCCCAAACCCTGCCGCCTGTCCCGGGTCCCCTGCCCCGAGCCAGCCAGCGGGGGAGACGCCCCAGAGCTGCATGTCCCCACAGGGTGGTCACGGCAGCCACAGGAAACTAGCCATGGATTTGAGAGGGTGGGGGAATCCCTGGGCTTTGACCCTGAGTCTTAATCATTGCAGCCCCATGACGTAGGCTGGGGCTTTTTACCAGGGTACAAAAGGGGCTTTAAGTCCCACCTTTGGCCCTAAGTGCCTGTCCCCTCCTCCTTTACAGTGTGACTAGGGAACTTTGGACAGCCACCTCCAAACTGGCTGCAGGTCTCGCCCCAGGAAGGGGGTGGGCTGGCCAACCTTTCCGGCGGTGTGGCTCTGCTGCGGGGATGAGGAGACTGAAGCCAGAGCAAGTGCCATCTGCCCAGTCCAGCTTGTCTCCTTGGTGCCTCCCCTCCAGGGGGTCAGTCGGTGGGAACCAAGGGCCAACGGAGCGGACCCCTGGCTGGTCAGGGCCAAGCCCCAGCTGGTGCCTCTGAGAAGGGGTTTTTAACATTGGTACGTGTGCTGTGGTTCCTGGGGTGCCCTCTGCTGCCCCCCTGCTCAGTAACAGGGCCTCGCTAATCGGGTTGTCACTGGATGAAAGTGCTGGAGATTTAAGTTACTATCCTGGCTTTGCCCGACCTCAGTGACTTGTAAGACTGACCGTGAAATAAACCGTGTTAATCCTGGCCGTGTACAGTCTCTCTCACCCTTCTGTGCCCAGCACAGTCTTCCCTGGGGCCAGGGCTGGTGTTATCAGGACTGGCTTTGTCCCACAGCTTGGGGCCATCGGTCCTGTCTCCCCTCCGCTGGCTGGGCACAGCTGTGGTGAGGTCGGGCAGCTGAACAGTGTTGGCTTTCATGAGGCGGCAGAAAGGAGAGCGGCTGATCTTAGACGCACACAGAAAGTGGGTGGGGGGGTGGCCGGGTCTGAGGGACGTGGAGCAGAGCCTGTCCTCCCCCATTAACTGCAGCAACAGGCCCCCAGGTGTGCCAGCCCCAGGCAATCAGAGGGACTGCTCAGCCAGACCAGCGGTTCCTGGTCTGGGTTTCCGCCAGCTCTCTAGGGAAGGCCACCCTCAGGTCATGGTGTTGCAAACACAAGGGAACACCTGACATTCGGGAGTTCTGTACAGGCCCGCGGGGGAGCTTCTCAGGCCTAACTCAGTCATACTAGCGCCATGGCCTTGGCGCCAGCAGGGGAAGCCTAGAAAGAAAGGGGCCTGGGCTCGGAGGGAGGAGCAGCAGTAAGTTACCTATTTGGGCCATGGTCCTTTCTCAGCCAGCTCTACTACCAAAGCGCCAAAAATCTAAGCGTCAAAGTCTCAAATCCCTCTGCCTGGAACTCCTGCCATGAACACTATGCTTGACTTGAACAGCAGGACACTGGCCACCACTTCCTCCCCCAGCTTGTCTCCCACACACGGGACAGCCACGGAGAAGTCGAGCGGTATTTACTAAGAATGCTGTTTCCAGCCATGTGAGCTTATGGTCTGTGACTGGACCCTGGGGCCCAGGAGCTACGTGTCCCACTTGGAAAGGGTCTGGGGGGTCAAGGAGGCAGGATTTTGTCCCTGTCCTCCTGTCCCTTAGCCTGCAGTGGCCGCAGGACTGTGAGGGCCTGTGTAAACCTCCTCTGAGTCAGCCCAGCCTCAGACTTAGCACCCAGCCACGCTCCACATGAGCTTCTAGTGAGTTGTGGTCCTTACCATCAAATCACATGTGACTGACATCAGGTGGGGCCCAACAGCATACTCAGGCCTCCCCAGCACTCACAGGCTGAACAGGTTTGGGAGAGGTGGACAGCATCCCCCTGCCATCAGGCCCTGGGTGCCCACACCCCTTATGGGCAGGTGCTCGGCCTACAATCCACGTCCGTAGCAGCTCCATGCTGGGGACTCCGCTCTGGCCTACCAACTCTGGAGTGACACAAAGTAGCTGCCAGAGCAAAGTGCCAGAAAGGGTCAAAACATTTTATTCTCTTAATTTTTTTTCTTTTTTAATAAAGTTAAACAGTAAAACAAAAATTCACAAGCTGCCTCCCTGTCCACCCCCCGCCTCCCTCCCCTCCCTGCAGTCTCCGGTGCTGGCTCCCTTTCCTTTCCCCCCACTCACACAGACACAGGGTATCCAACTAAGAAAACGAAACTGCTCTAAGGATGGGGAGACGAGATGAAGGGAGGAGGTGAACTGTGCCCACGTTCAAGGTTACACTGAGCAAGTCTGCACTTTCTGGGTTCTGGATGGTTTCCTTTCATTAGCCAAATTGAAAAAAGAAATTCCCTGGACCAGATGCTGTAAGGCAAAAGAAGGGCTTGTTAGTTGGCTCTCGGTGGGAAGATCACTGCCGATCACGGCAAAGTCTTCAAGGGCTGCTTCAGAAGAACCGCCCAGAGCATCAACAGCCTAGGCCCTGGGGCCTCAGGGGAGCATGTGAACAGCTGTGTGTGTAGCTGCTTAACCTCACTCTTGCGGAGAAGCCCCAGCATGAGACAGCTTAGAGACACCTCCCCGGCCCTGCAGAGGAGTGGGCTAACGGTCCCAAGGCATGGTGCGCCCAGGGGCCTCCCTGCAGCACCTGAGTGGATCTGTATCCTGCTAGCCGGGCCTTCTGCCACCTCCACTCCTGGGCCCCTGTGACAAAGAGCTACCTAAGTGGGGAGTCGCATTATGAGCCTGTAATCTGGGAACTCCCGAGAGCAGGAGGCTTACTCACCTTCAAAGCTGAAGCCCCCAGGACCGCCAAAGAATGCCTTGAAGATATTGTTTGCGTCAAAATCTGTGCAGCAGAACAAGAAACAAGACAGGGACAAAAAGTGGAAAAAGTCAGACATGTCTGAAGAGGGACTTATGACAACGCTGAGAACGGGTCCCCAAAGCTCTCCCAGCCGCATCCCTTACCGCCTTCCCAAAACCTCACTGACTCCCCATGCCAATCGCTGCTCATCCCATTCGTAGGACACGCTCCTCCTTCCCAGCCAGGCCCGAAGGAAAGCTGTCTCTGCCTCAGCCCACTTTGCCGGACCTTCTTCTCAACAACTGGGAGGCCACTTGCACTTACAAGACTCGCCCACGCCGTCTCCCTGTAATGCTGGGGCTGCTACTGAGAGGGCGAAAATCTAGCACTTCAATGCTAGCAACACTAAATCTAGGAATAAGATCTAAGGTTTACTGTATTCATTTGATTCCATGCTCTGTCTAGACTGTAGGCCGGGGCGGGGGGGGGGGGGGGGGAGTCATGGTTTATTAAGCACCTACTAGGTGCCGATCATTGTGCTGCGTACTCTGCACACCTTACATCGCCCCCAATTTATACTCAACAACACCTAAGTAGGGAGCTCAAGTAACCTGCTCAAGATCAAGTGATGGCAGCAGAACTGAACAATCCAGCTTCTGCCTGACTCCAGTGCTGCGGCCTTATCATCAGACCACAGGTCTGCTGCCCCGATGCCCACCTGACTTGCTAAGCTCCACAGAGGATTTGTCTCCGCCAGCTGATCCAACAGGCACATTGTGTCCAAAAGCAAATTCTTCCTTGCCTGTGTACCTGCTCGTCTTGGGTCCCCTAGTTTAGTGACTGGCTCCGAGCCAGCCATCCAAAGCCACTCAGCTTCGTCCCTCCCTTCTTCCAAAACATCAGCAACCACCTCCTGCTACATCTCCCACCGTGCCCTCCGATCCTTTCCTACCCATCATGCCTTCCGCCATCTCTCACCGCCCCCCTTCACTGCACCAAACCACGTCCTCACTGCCATCGCACATATACTTCTGGAGCTCAGCTCTGGTTGGGAGCTCCCCTACTTAGAACCCTCCAGTAGCTTTTGACTGCTCGTTGCTCCTCCCAACAGCTGGGCAGAGCAACGTTTACTATTAGTAAACGTAAGTTTTTAAAGTGTGCACACACACACACACAAACCCCGAACCAGAGATAAGGATTATCTAGGCAACATCATCAATCCTATTTTAAATTCCAAGATTTTCTTAATGGAGGAGAGAGGGCTGGTATTAGAGACAATGGTCTGAGAAGTGTGCAGAATTCCTGGCCTTTCTCATCTCCAACCAAGCTCATGGCGAGCAGCGACACTGACAGCTACGCTTTAAGTCTTTCGGGGAAACTGAACTTCGTGAAACCCGCAGGGAATGGGTGACACATGTAAATATCAGTCAGCATACACTCTGCAGGCGGAGAAAACTTCCAGCCAATAGGAAAAAGCCCATATTCCCTACTCCGGCCGCCAAGGCCTTCTGAGGGGGGATCCAGCTACTTTGGGGCTTCATGTCTCACCCTCCCCTGCCTCGAGCACCCTCTATCCTCCCCCACTCAGCCCCTCACAGCTCCCCAAAGGTATTATTTCTGCATTTCCAAGCCTTCCCTTACTATTGCTCACCATCTAAGTACCCACTCTGCATCCTGAGCACCTGTGACCCTGACTGTCCTTGTTGGGACTCCACATCCAAGGGTCAGGAGTCAGATGTGGCCTGTGGGTCAGTTTGCAAAGCCCAAGACTGGGTTCTCGGAGCTCAGGGAACCTGTTTGATTTACCTGTTATTTCCAGTGCCCATCACAGTGCCTCACACATTACAGGTATTTATCCAGGGTGGGCCTTACACATCACTATGCCTCACTGGCTGTTACGCAGACTCCCCTTTGGAGTGTCTTCAGAAAAATTCTAACAATCCACAGCTGTCAGGTTCATCCCAAGCTGCCCCAACCAACTCACCACCCATATTCATGCCCTCCTCATCCAGGTCCTGTCCGCTGTCGTAGCGAGTCTTTTTCTTGGGATCAGAGAGGATGGTAAAAGCTTCTCCAACTTCCTTGAACTTTTTCTCTTCCTCCTTCTGAACTTCGGCACTGGCTCCACTGTGCCGATCTGAAGGGAGAAGTATGGGAAAAACTCAATCACAAGAAAACAAAGTTTAAGACAGAGACCACTTTATGTCTGATTTTAGAATCTGGTACTTCCAAAGTTTGGAGGGTAGGGAACTTACCAACAGCTCATTCCCAGCTAAAGAGCCAGAAACTTTCATTCTGGCCCAGTTTGGCAGGGCCGGCCTGGTTCATTCTTCCCAAGTCCCCTCCCCGTACCCACTCTACCTGGATGATGCATCAAGGCCCGTTTCCGGTAAGCTTTCTTGATCTCGTCCTCAGAGGCATTCTTGTCCACTCCCAGAATTTTGTAGTAATCTTTCCTCTTACTCTTCTTCAGTTCCAGCTGTGCATTTTTTAGGAGCTGTTTGTGTTCTAGAAGGATACAGCTAAAGTCAATGGACAAATCTGACTCTGGTTTCCTTTACCAGGTCCTAACCCAGATAGATGCCTTACAGTCAGAAGCCTTGTTAAACATACCAGGCGCGTTTATAGTGTTTTCTTCTTCTTCTTTTTTTTTTTTTTTAAGATTTTATTTATTTATTTGAGAGAGAGAGCACATGAGAGGGGGGAGGGTCAGAGGGAGAAGCAGACTCCCTGCCGAGCAGGGAGCCCGACGCGGGACTCGATCCCGCGACTCCAGGATCATGACCTGAGCCGAAGGCAGTCGCTTAACCAACTGAGCCACCCAGGCACCCTATGGTGTTTTCTTCTGAAGATTAAAAAAAAAATCTACTCATACTTTGGTTCCTCACATCAGCCTAATTACACAGAAAAGGAAGTGAAAGTGACAGAGAGGATTTAGGGGCAGAAAAGAAGTGCCTTATCCTGCACTTGGCATCTCTGTTCACTTCTTCCTGGCTGGCAAATAGGCTCCAGGTATATCCCTGATCCCTGAATCAAACAATCCCATGTCCAGTTTTAAGGGCCTAAGAGAAAGACCTCACAGTTCCCTGAGAAACATGTTCTCAGACCCCTTTACCTTTTGTTTTCTCCGTCTGATATACTTTTTCATAGTCCCGCACTGCTTCTTCATACTGTTCTGTGTCCATGTAACTGAGAAGGAAATACAGGGTGGTACAGCAACGTAAATAGAAATGGCCTTCGGTATCACTGCTGCAGAAGAGGCACAGCTCAAGCAAGAGACACACACTTTTGGTCGAAATGCTTCATGAATCAGGAGTCCTTAAGCTAGCCGTGAAGAATTAAAACTACCAGTTCCTCAAGTAAAAAGAGAGCGATCTCATGCCACTTGCACCCAACCAGCAAAGTGAGACTCTGCTCTGAGCAGAAAGCAACCAACGGGAGAAGGTTCCTTCTGACGTCACAGAGCCCCTGAGAGGCATCTGGATTGCCTTAGGAAAGGCAATGTGAGCGCACCTACTTGAACGCTTACTTGGGATTGAAATGCAAAAGAAAAATTATCAAGTGAGAGCCATGGATATGGAAAAGCTTGGAAACCTGTAGTGCCATAAACATGCAGGGCCAGCTCCAATCCAGAGTAGAAGTGGGATTAGTGAGCCACTAGAAGGATCAAGTTCAAGGTGGTGGCTGCTGGCAAATGCTTCCAGTAAGACTAATCAATCTGAGAGATGTAGGTAAGCGAGAGAAAAGGAGACTCTAAACACAGACTTGCTTCTGTTTCAGTAATGCAGGAGAAAAGGGCGGGGGGCTGGCCCAGATGGGGAGAAACAAGCTTGCCAGGCTGAGTGCCGGACCTTTTAAGACCTTCTCTTCCACAGAAGCAAAGTGGTAATTTCCATGTCCTGATAAGATCACTGGCGCCAAGATGGCCTACCACGTAAACGGACTGTGGTAGAAGCTCCAGAGACAGACCGCCTCAGCGGGGTGCACCACAGCCAGCCACTGCACAACAGAGACCAAATTTACTACCCTGCCCCCACACCAACCCGTCTCTGCAAACATCAGAGCTCCGCCGGGCCGAGAGGCCACAGCTACTGATGTGGCTGGCAAGACGGAAGCCCAACTTCTGAAGCATCTTTGATTTTCCAACAACATCTTAATTTACAACTTTAATTAAAAAATGGTGAGAAAAGCCAGTACCCTGCACACACAGGGCACAAATGCTACCAGGAGCTCAGAGAACCCATTTACAGGATGAAGAATAATAATAAGGGGACAGCCCAGGTGCAGAATGATGGGACAGATAAGCAACCTTAATGAACTTTCCATGCCCTTTTGGAACGTATTAAACAAACTTACTATAGTGATTTGCATTTTTACTTAACGTGTTTTTAAAATTCAGGGATATCTTCACATTTAAATTTTTTTCTGTGTTGTACACCTGAAAGAATATAACACTGTACGCCAACTATCTATTAAGAAGGTATTTTTTTCAAAGTTGAAGAAAAAGTAGAGTAGTAGAGCCTCAGGGAAAATGGGAAACTCCAGCCCATGACAGGAGCTGTAGCAAAGATCTGGCCGTCTCCCCAACTTCAAGGGTAGGTTGAGGCCGACTGGGGCAGCAAAGCCCCTCGTTAGGCTTTGGCCTGAACTAATCTCCACTACTTCATGTCAATCCCGGCTACCTGAGGGGATCATTGGCCAAATTTTGGCCAACTGTACCCAAAAGTGCATGCTGTCCCCTGTGGTGGGATCTCAAAGGCAGAGTTACTCAGAGGACAGTTCTGTTTCTACCACAAAGATAAGGAGTTGTCTGATTAAAGCCATTTGATTTTTCCTTATTGAACACTTAATAAAGATGTAATTATCCCCCTAACAAGCCAAGAATTTTCTCTTCTCTCCCCATTCCTGTTCAAACACTGCAGAGTGTCCACTGAGTTGACATGTCATGTACCTAGCCACCTCGGCCCCACCAGACACTTAGGGGATTCTCTTTGCTGGCTATTACAGATAACACCACAGTAAACTTGCATATAGCATTTTTTATCTGTTAAAATGAGTCATTAGCTGGGTCAGAGGATATGTGTTGTCTTCCAAAGCTTCCATGTTTGCCAGTGGTTTGCAAACAAGAGATGATTGACAGCTGGTCTCACAGAGTCTATAATACAATTCCGTGGATGTTTCTGTTTGACAGACTTACTCATCCACTTAGAAATCCACTTAAAAAAAAACACAGTAGCAATTTTCCTGTTTTTAAAAAATGTGGATAATTTGGGGAAAACTAAACGGGAGGCAGGCCACGCCCCGCACCACTGATGAGACTGAGGAGCTTAAAGAATGACGGGCTCCTCAGACATCAGTAACATCACCAGTCCTCTGGGTCCGACATTTCGTGACAAGAAATGGCATGAGTGTTAGAGGATTAGTACACAACAAACAGGTCTTCCTTTGGAACTTTAAAGGTAGGATGTGTTTTTCTGTCAGGGAAATAATCTGAAATACGAAGAGATGGATTTGTGGGAGTCTCTCTTAGCCCTTGCTGCGGTTCCTGTCTGCAGCACAGAGTCTGCATGGACAAGCAAGCCGGGGAGTGCCTGGACTCTGACGGCAAGTCTGGGCACTAGATCTAGGTAGGCATCTCCTGGCTCATAAATCAGAGTCCCATGGAGTATTTCAAAAGGGGCTTCCTTATACTGCTGGGAGGCTGAGCCAGATTAAATCCCTTCCAACCGAGACTGTCTTCCCTAACCCAGAACAAACAGGACTCAACTGTCTCCAAGAGATACTTTACTTCTTCCTCTTCCAAGCACCATACATTCATTCCACAAAACATTTATTGAGTGAGCACCTATTGTGTGCCAAGCACTGTGCCAAGTTAGAGCAAAAGTGTACAACACAAAATACAATCTCCAAAGGAAATGGATTTAAACTTTAACAAAAGGAATTTGGGTCAGGCATCAGAGGAAACTTACTGACCGTGAGGGGCGTAAGACACAGGCATGGGAGACTGAGGGAGCTTGTGCAATCTCCTCCGCTGGAGGTCTATAAAGATAGTCTAGGGCTGGAACAATCCCACCTAGAGGCAGGGGGAAGGACCAAATGACCTCACAACATCCCTGGGTCTGCGTCAGCATCCACAATGCAATTCCCCTGGCAGGCCAGCAGCAACCCTCGCTTCCCCTCGCCCGCCGGAGGCACTCACCACTGAGCTCTTCTCAAGTAGGCTTTTATATAAGTGGCATCGAGCTTCACTGCACTCGTGCAGTCTTCTATTGCATCATCTAGTTTCCTAAGCTTCAGGAGAGAGAGAGCAGTCATACTTCACATCTCTGCAGACCGAGGGAACCCAGAGGCTGTGAGCATGGCTTCAAAATTCTAAGAGGACAGTCATGCTGGCCCCCCGAACTGTCACACTCACTCTCGGTCACTGAGAAAGCCAGTGTCTCAGAGAGCTAAGGACACCAGATTTGAAACTGGTTTCTCTTCTACGGGATGGAAGCCAGGCACACCTACGTGCAGGGATAAACCACCCCTGCTGTTCCTGGGGTAGTGCCCAAACAGGATATGGGAATAGGAAGGGTGGTTCCTGCCCTCATTCTCCCAAAGGCCAATGAGAGGGTTAAGAACTGCTCTGATCTCTGATCGCTGGAACACTGTAAGAGCAAGGACTCTGCTGCTGTTTCTTACGGTACACGCAGGACTACAGTGGGCCCGCAGGCCATTTCCAGCCAGGCGCAGTGACCATCACTTATGCTGGACAAAAAAACTAAGCCTGCCTCATACTCTACTTTCCTCCAAATCACTCCTAAGAAAGAAAGAATCACTTGCTTAGGCCAAAGCAGCAATAATATTTGCTTAAAAAATTATCCCAGAGCCTCTAGGTATTCTTTTAGTGGAGGAAAGGGAACGTGAGGAAGAACAGGTAGGAACAGCCTTCCAAACTGTCCCTCAAGTGCCCTTCAATTCCACAGAAAAGGTAAAAGCCTGCCTCTCCGAAGGAAGTTCCTAACAAGCTGAGCCTTCCACCAAAATCACCTTTTCTCCTTTCATCTGGCCTGCCCTCATTAGGCAGAATCCCCAAGACCTCTCTGATGTCCCTTAAACATATCTCCACAGGCCCCAAGACCCAGACCGAGTGCTTACCTTGGAATTAACCGTGCCCCGATTACAGAAGAGTTTAGCATTTGTTTTTATATTGTTAGGATCTATCCCCAGGGCTTCTGTGTACAGTTCATAGGCTAGCTTGTAATTTCCTTCTTTAAAGGCTTTATTCCCATCTTCTTTCTTTGCTTTCAGTGCTTTGGCATTCTACAGGAAAAAGGAAGGGGAGGTCAGTTAACATCCAGGAAACCTCAGACCACTGTACAGAGGGGCCCAAGTCTATTTTCAGTTTCTCAGATCCCAGGTGTTTAGCATCACACTGACCCTGACCACCACCACCCACCCTCTGCCCTGCCCCCGCCACCTGGGCTATTTGTTGCTCACTGATGCTTCCTACAGAGTGGACAGGGGAACCAAGATTTACAACAGAATACCAATGAGACTTGTTTACCCAGGGTTTACCTCCACTCCCTAGGTTAAGCATTACTATTTTTTCTTCACTGAGGGAAGAAAAAAAGAAAAAAACACTTAGGTATTAGAAGGATCTGACCCTGTATGATCACATTTACCTTTAGACAAATAAAAGTACTTCTGAAATAATTTCTAATGAAAGGCCCAAGCATCCTGGCAAGGTGGGAAAAGGAGCTATCACATTTCATGTGAACCTTGAACCTTCCACTCTTGACTCTCTTAAAGGCTCAAAAAGGTAGCTTTTGTTCCTACTCAGATCTGGGGCCTAGAACTTACTCTGCAAGCAATGCAGGCCTTCTCATGGTCAGGAGCCATCCTGAGAGCCTGTACAAAAAACTGAACCGCCTTCTCAATACAATCTTCATAATAAAGGCAAAGACCTCGTACATACAGAGCATCCGCATTGGTAGAATCCATTCGTAAAATGTCACTGCAATAGCCGGAAAGGGGCACATTCAGCCGTGGTTTGGATCTCCCCACCATTACTATCATTTGTGATTACTATCGCCAGTTTTTCTCTTGACCGTGTGTCTAGTATAGAAAGTATCCAAAGGTAGATAGATCCCAATGAGCTCTTCCCATACCTTCCCAGCTCTTCCCAAATAAACCACCTGTATTTACCTTTAATACACTTCATGTGTCTCAGTCTTTATTTGAACAGAGATTGGCAAACTACAGCCCACAGGGCCAAATCCTGCCTGTCACTGTTTATATAAATTGTACTGAAATCTAGCCACATCATCCACTTATCTATTATCAATGCCTGCTTCTGCCAGAAGTGAATAATTACGACAGAGATTCTATGACCTACAAAGCCTAAAATATTTACTACCTGGCCCTTTACAGGGCTCACAAACCTGTGGTGTAGGAAGAAAATGACATTAAAATAAAAAACAAAAAAACAGAAACAAAAAAACCACCTCACACATCTGTTCTTCGACATACAGCTGAAGTACCTACCATACTTCTATATATCTGGTAGGTTTTCAAATCCGGTCTAATTGTGGCTTTAAGTCCCAGGAAGGTCTGATCAGCTCTACCTGGTCTACCTACAGGACATATGGTAGCGCCTGCTATAGACAGCTGCCAGGCGGCACCTGTCCAGTGGTGGGACATTTCAATGCAGAAATGGCCTGACTTCATACCTGGCCACAGACTGTGCTTCCGGGTAACGACCTAGCATTGCTAAACATTCAGCTTTGAGGATTTTGAAGCGATGGCAGGCAGGGGCAAATTCTAGGGCACGGTCCATGCAGAAAACCACCTATGGGGAGAAGAAAGCAAATAAGGCTCTTCATTCTGGACTCTAGAAATATCTTCATTTATAAATGTCTGGCCACAGGCAACAGATTAAAAGGAAAGTAATATCAGAGCTTAGGAACATACCTGATTCATTTGATTAAACCACTGAAACAAGGAGAGCAACTGATCCAGATGATGATGACATGACAACAGCAAACATTTAAGTACTTTATATACTGACCCATTTAATGCTCATAATTTTATAAAATAATTTTATGAAGTACCTTATTTTATTAATGAGAAGCTAAACTAAAGCACAGAGATTAAGGAATGTGTTCAAGGTCACCAAAGCTAGTACGTGACAGAAATGGGGTTCAGTCTCAGACACTACAACTCCAGAGCCTGTTACTTTAATCACCATGCTAAGCTGCCTTCACAGTGACTGTGATCAAAATTCACATCCTTCTACTGTAGAAATACAATTATTTGCTACTCTGTATAACTCACCATGCTTAGCCTATTACGTAAGACAAGGATACCGAAAATAACCTGACACAGAATCGTCGCTCCCTATATCATTAAAATTGCTTACAGTTCCCTCCTTCCTGTGCCATGAGCCTCACATCTCACTAAGTACCCTAGTGGCCACCCTTCCATTCCTATTTTATTTTTATTTATTTTTTAAAAGATTTATTTATTTATTTATTTTGGGGAGTGTGAGCAGGGAGAGGAACAGAGGCAGAAAGAATCCTCAAAAAGACTCCCCGCTGAGCATGGAGCCCGACACTGGGCTCAATCCCAGGACCCTGAGATCATGACCTGAGCCGAAATCAAGTGTTGGCTGCCTGACTGAGCCAACCAGGCGCCCCTCCGCTTCTATTTTAGTAGCAATATATCAGTAAAATGGTTGGTTTAAATGGTCCTAAATAGACTATATCAAATTACTATACTTAAGATGTTTATAAACCAAAAGGCAAGTTTCTCTCTCTCTCTCTCTCTCTCTCACACACACACACGCTGAGATTGTCTTTCAGTTTGATAAAGCCTCTCCATATATTCCTATTTTCTCTTTTCAGAAGTTTGTTCTCTGAGCCTTCATTTTTGGTTTAGCTGCTATTCCTGGGAGATCCTTGCTGAATCATATCCTTGTCAAGGATAAATGACCCAAAGGAGCAATGTGGAATTAAGAGACACCCATTCGGTCTAAGAATCTGGCCATGGGGATCAGGAAGAAATGAAGTCTGAAAACTCAAAAGCAATAATAGGTCAAATTCCAGCAAAAGGCAACTGGTTGGACATTCATGTAATGGAATACCGTGTGGCTCTAAAACAGAATGAAGCAACTTTCCATGTATTAGTACAGAAAGACTTCCAAGGTCCACTAAGTGAAAAAAAGCAAGGCACAGAATAGTGAAAAGCATACGACCTTTCATGTAAAAAAAAAGAAAATCAGGACTCTATATTTCTACTTGCTTATATACATACAACCAGACTGGAAGGCAACAGAAGAAACAAGACTAGAGATTACTTCAGGGGGTGAGAACTAGGTAGACAGAAGTTTGGGGGAATACCTATCACTGAGTATCTATTTATATTTTTAGCTTCCCCCCCACCAACCAATACTTCTAACTTTTGAACAATGAATAGCACCTATTCAAAAATTTAAATTTGAAAATATGCAGAAGTAGGGCAACACCAAGAGCTGCTCCACTGGAAGACTGCAGTGTTCACAGAGCAGTGGTGGGGAGGACTCTCTTTCAGGGCACAGGTTACTATCCTAGAAGTTCTAAGGATTCTATGAAAGTTCAGGTATCATGTAAGATAGAATCATGGTGCTAATTTTTCCCCCTTAAATAGAAAGAGAATGGCGGGGGGGAAGCAGTCAGATGTAAGCAGCCACACCCTGTTGCCTTCGCAACGTTCTGTATGGAGATGGTTCTGCTCATCGGGTCAGTGGCGTGTCAGCTGAAGGCTTAGTGCTTCACTTCCCACCCCCCACTCCCCATGACTAGGGACAGCTGCAGGCAAAGAAGATCTTTGTTTCTTCCAAGTTCATCTGTTTCCCCTGCCAGGATCATAATTCTTCATTTGTGACATCACCATGAGCTACAGTGGGGGGGGCTGGGATGTCACAAACAGAGGATTCTGTCACAAACTGGGGATTCTGGCTCCAGAGTGGGCAAGAGAGAAAAGAAACTCAAAAGATTGCCTTTTGAGACAAAGCTTTTGCCTATGTAAACCTCAGAAAACATGACAGAAGGAAAACACACACACACACACACCAAAAAAACTTATGAATCACAGTACAAAGACACTATGGTTATTAAAACCAACAGACAAAAGAGGGATGCTAATAAGTTAATGCTGGGACTCTGCATAAGCTAATCAGAAATATTTATTACCAAATAAAAGACCTGCACAGTTTGTGACTTAAGAATAATTAAGAATAATTCTTAGTTGTACCCTTTTATCAAACGTTTACTGAGTACATTCTATAGAAAGCACTGAGCAAATTCCCACATATGAAGTAACAACTCTATTCCTTGGATGATACAAACCTCTTTTAAGTGATCCTGAAAATTGACCCTAATCCGTGGTTTTTACCTTTTTAGGAGGCTAATCACCTCCCTTTTGAAACTCTAATGAAAGCTACTTCCAAATATCATCTAAAGCAGGGAATTAGGAATTATACAGATGAGACATAACCACTATAAACAAAATCTAGAAAGGTATCTAGAACTTTTACACCTTTCTCATGTTTTCAGATAGGTCAACCCCTCTGGTGCATTTTCATGGACTATCACACAGCTCCATCAAGGAGAGTAGTGTGCTTTCACAGCAAGGCCTAACATCAAAACTGTAGTGATGACAGGTTACATACACTGGCCAAAAATCTAAAAGGAGCCTCTATTTTTTATTTAGACCTGCATCTAGTTCACATAAAGCAGGGTGAAAGCTAGCTTTCATTATTCAAATTAAACCAATATCCAAACCTAATATTTAATTCCAACTAGTATTCCCTCTATTAGCCAACACACTTGTAGGATACTATCTTGTATCAAAAGCAGGAACAAATTCAAGTAAACTCACATTGCTTTTTATCATAAAGCCAAATAGAATTAAGAAAGTAAATACCTTGGCAAAAAAATTTTTTAGATGCTGGTGATGATGTGGAGTAACAGGAACTCTCATTCATTGCTGGTGGGAATGCAAAAATGGTATGGCCATTTTGGTAGTTTCTTGCAAAACTTAACATACTATTACCACACAATCCAGGAACTGCACTTCTTGGTATTTACCCAAAAGAGGTGAAAACTTATGTCCACACAAACACCTGCACACAGATGTTTACAGCAGCTCTATTCATAACTGTCAAAAACATGACTGTCAAAAACTAATGATGTAAGGTATAGTGATTAACATAATAAAATAAAATTAAAAAAAAAAAAAGTGACTGTAACGTATGTGCCTCTGGGGATGCCCGGGTGGCTCAGTCAGTTAAGCATCTGCCTTCAGCTCAGGTCATGATCCCAGGGTCCTGGGTTCAAATTCCGCATCGGGCTCCCTGCTCAGAGGTCTGCTTCTCCCTCTCCCTCTGCCCTTTCCTCCTGGCTCATGCTCTCTCTCTCAAATAAATAAATAAAATCTGAAAAAAAAAAAAAGTGCCTCTGGTGGGGAATGCTGATAATGGGGGAGGCTATGCATGTGTGGGGGCAGGGGAATATGAGAACTCTCTGTACCTTCCTCTCAATTTTGCTGTAAACCTGTTCTTAAAAAAAATAGTCTTAAAAAAAAAAGAAAGAAAAAGGCAAAGTCAAACTGAAGTGGTAATTTATTATTCTGGATCTTCTGTACCATACTAACACACACACACACACACACACACACCTTCTGTATCATATTACACGTGCACACGCGTGGCCTTGTGATAAAGGGTAGATGAGATTTCCCCATAGTTGTACTTTACCTTCCGAAAATCCCGCTTCTCAAAATCCGTTTCTGCTATTTTCTCATATTCTATGACTGCATTAGCATTCTTGAACTACGCCAGAAAATCAGACAGGGAAAGTTTTAATGAAGTTGTAGATTCAACAACCACAAAAATCAAGGCTTTGATGAATTATGAGTTCAAGAAAATCAGAACCACAGACTTCTCACAAATCAAGTTGGTGAAGATGCAGCCAAGACTCCTAAAAGGCAGGCTAAAGCCCTACCTGCAACCTCAGTTTGAACTTCAAGTCAGGAACACCAGAGTCGTGCCTTGATAGACATAAATTAAAGGCACAGCATCATCAGAGGTTGAGCAGAAGCTTCCAGATTCTCACTAAAACGCATCCAGGAGTAAACTGGGTATAAATAGAGATGGAACTAAAACACATTTTAGCTGCTACTGATTTAATCAGGACTTGAATTTACTCAAATTCTTTAACCTCACTCAAATTAGTTCCTTGCAGCATCTGCCGGCTCCTCAGCCATCTAAGAAACCCTCCATTTCACAGATTTCTAAAACTATAAATCATATTCAAAACTCTGTCTACATATAAGAAACTGAGGCTCGGACAGACTATGAGACTTGCCTACAGTTACCCAGATGTGGTGATGGCAGAAGTGAGACTAGCTCTCAGTTCTTTTTATTTTTAGGTAGCTCTCAGTTCTGACTTTCAGGTCACTATACCACAGTGTCTCTTTCCATATGGACAAGATCAGAACCATACCTCCTGTTGTGCCTGAGCATTTTTGTGATCCAGTTCTAGGGCTCTCTGGAAACTACGACATGCTGCCATGGCATTCCCTAGAGATAGGTGGCATTTTCCCTCTCGTAGATGTCCCTAGAAGAAATGCAAAGAGCGAAGAAAAGGAGCATGATTGGCCAAGCAGAGAGCAATCAACAGCAGGAACAAACACCCACACAAAACCCAACATGGGATGAAAGCAGCCAGAGCAGTGGTTCTCACCCAGGGGAGATTCCGCCCTCCATGGGACGGTTAGCAATGTTGGGGACATGTGTGGTTGTCACAGCCGGGGAGGTAGGGGTGCTACTTATACCTAGTGGTTAAAGAGATGCTGCTAAACATCATACAATGAACAAGACAGCCCTCCACAACAAAGAATTATCTGGTCCCAAATGTCTACAAAGTCAAGACTGAGAAGCCCTGGGCTAAAGGAAAGCAACTGCAGCAACCGGTCCTCCCCAGATGGTCGCATTACGTACCCGGACGAAACTGTCATCCAACCTCACTGACTGTTGTGCATCTCCAAGAGCTTCCCGGAACTTTCCGAGCATCATCAAAGTGGCTGCTCGATTCCCATAATAGCTAACATTTTTAGGACACATATCTACGGGAAGGGCAGAAGAAAATAAAATAAAGCTTAGCACGGGTCACTGCTTCAAAAACTCAGGGGCCCTCTCCCCTCAGAACTACATCAAGGCAATCAAACTATAATAGGAATGCTGACATACTCTCTTTAAAAGGCCATGGCCAAATTTTTGACTACCGACAGCAGCAATGGTATGACCGATTAAAAAAATAAACGTTACTTAAAAATAATTTATAATAGCTTTAAAGTGCACTGATTATTCTTTAAAGGGGAGGGGTCAGCATATTCATCTTCTTAATGAATTGTATTATATATAATAAGAAATGAAAATGAATTTGCATTTGTTGAATTAGGGGTCAAGAGCCTGTAAGCAAGTTAAGTGAGAAATATGCTGACATGGGATTAAAATATGCTGGCAGATGGAGCATGGAAGTTGTTAAGACTTGATAATTAATATCTATAAGGGCTATTTTCTTTTTTTTTTAAGATTTTATTTATTTATTTATTTGACAGAGAGAGACACAGTGAGAACGGGAACACATGCAGGGGGAGTGGGAGAGGGAGAAGCAGGCTTCCCATGGAGCAGGGAGCCCGACGTGGGGCTCGATCCCAGGACCCTGAGATCATGACCTGAGCTGAAGGCAGACGCTTAATGACTGAGCCACCCAGGTGCCCCATACAAAGGCCATTTTCTAACATGGTTAAATGAACTAGAAATGGCTGAGATGCATTTAGGTGGGTTATCTTTTTGCCATATCTAGAATTTCTGGAATTGCCTTTGTCAAATGAAGAACTACCCATTTATAAGTCATCCCTCATAAGCCAATTAAGTCCGAAAGAGTTCGCATAGTAAGTTATGAACCCACTAAGCCAAAGGCTACTTTTTCAAGAGCCGCTACATACAACAGTACTTATACTGAGCAAATTTATCTTCCAACATAAGCAGTTAAGGTCCTTCTCACCTATGGCTTTTGTATAATAGTTATAAGCTTCATTGTAATCTTTCTTGGCATAGTATGCGTTTCCTTGTTCCTTGAAAGACTCTGCTTCCCTGAAAAGGAAAGAGAAAGAGGAGCATATTATACACAGGGAATAACCTCTGTAATCTCATGGGAGCAATCTTTGGTCTAGAGCCCCGGGTATATTGAGCTGAAAGTTAGTGCAATACTTGAAGGAATTTATAGATTTGTTCGATGCTATTTTTGTCACTTAGATACATTCAAACTAAATCAAGAAAACCTCTCTCATGTGGCCTGCCTTTCCTCGTTATTCCTGCCAATAGTCATATCCCATACAACAAGCAAATTTAGACATCCTCTCACAGAGACTGAAATTTTTTAAGTTTATTTATTTATTAAGTAATCTCTACACCCAACATGGGGCTCAAACTCATGACCCCAAGATCAAGAGCTGCATGTTCCTCCAACTGAGCCAGCCGAGTGCCCCTGAATTTTCATGTTTATTTCCTTTCCCCTGTGTCACAACTGCTGCCTCTTCAGCAAACATTAAAAATCAGTTACAGGGGAGCCTGGGTGGCTCAGCTGTTAAGCATCTGCCTTCAGCTCAGGTCATGATCCCAGGGTCCTGGGATCGAGCTCCGCATCGGGCTCCCTGCTCAGCGGGGAGTCTGCTTCTCCCTCTCCCTCTGCTGTTCCCCCTGCTTGTGCTCTCTAACAAATAAAATCTTAAAAAAAAAAAAAATCAGTTACAGATCACTCCATTCAGGGGCAACGATTTCTTAATGTGAAAGGGGTCACATCCCTAGAGTTCTAATGATTTATGCTCTTGAAAAGTGACTCATGCATTTGTCATTGAAAGGACAAGCAGAGCAAAAGCAGGTGGCAAAGGAGTTAAACACATAGAATATTGGTGTTTAAGATGGAGGACGGAGTTGAGTGACAGCAGAGACCAAGAACTTGGGTAACAGGGACATATGAGGTACAACCTGCCAGTGCCATGTTCTCAGAAGTACCCACCTACTGATGTACTCTGCCTATCACATCTATGTGGGTACTTATGCTACCGTTTCTATAGTATCTTGTATAACCACCAAGTGGACAATATCAGAATTTCTGCCCTACTCCAAGATCCATTTTTGAAGCTGTGCCATTAGACAAACTGTACTTTCCGAAAGGAACAATGTTATGTAAGGAGAATTATATTCCAGATCAAGGAACTAGAATCGAGTAAGACATGACCAACAATGTTGTAAAAAACTAGTAACCTCTACCAAAGATACCCCAAATCATTCTAATGACCAACTTGAGTGACAAAGATAATTCTTTACCCAAGTGATTCCTGCAACATAACGAAATATCTGAGCACTTTTGTTATAAGAATCTTTGTTTCTTTTTCTGTCCTCTACACAACCAAAAAAGGATCCAGTTCAAGGGAAGTAGGGACAAAAGTACCTAATTCTTTTTTTTTTTTTTTTAAGGTTTTATTTATTTATTTGACAGAGAGAGACACAGTGAGAGAGGGAACACAAGCAGGGGGAGTGGGAGAGGGAGAAGCAGGCTTCCCGCAGAGCAGGGAGCCCGATGTGGGGCTCGATCCCAGGACCCTGGGATCATGACCTGAGCCGAAGGCAGACGCTTAACGACTGAGCCACCCAGGCGCCCCAGTACCTAATTCTTAACATAGTAATGGTATGGGAGTTTACAGCTTGAGTCTATGGACATCAGCATTGGGAAGATTTGATTTATTTACTTACATATTTTAAACTACAAAGTGGCAAAGCCGCCCTCCTTTTATTGAGGCGATCTCCCTTTCCATTCTTCTCCAGCACTGTCCTGGCAAGCCCTACTAACATGAAAAGGCTGCTAGAAGAAAGGAGAAGGAAAATGGGAATGATCTATAAATGTTGACAGATTTGAACTGTGCTGGACATAAATCTGTTTGAATAATTTACACCAACTGGTACAATGCTATAAAGAGGCCATCTGCTATTAAAAGTCCTCAAGAAGGATCCCCCAACCGCAAGATTTATAAGACCAACTGCAATCTTTCTACATGGTGTACACCATCCTATAAATGTGAATTAAGCAAGGCACTATAAAAACTATGAGGAGCCTATCCTTTAAGAGCAGACATGCCAAGAGATCTGAAGAAAGGGCTTCCCCAACACTGGATGTCAGAAGCTGAGTCAAACAGCTGTGAAGAAATGGAGTGGTAAATTCAAAGGAAACACTGGGCCCACAATGCAACTGTGATCTAGTCTTCTCTTCAGTTGGCTAGTGGCTAAAAATACACAAATCCTTGAGGAAAACCAAAGGTATCCAGGCACTTGGACAGACACCGTATTAGCAGTAGAAAGCTTGTTAGTCAAAGGTGAAACAATCTGTAGAGCTACAGAATGGTGCCCTTTCTTTCCTGAAACACTAACTTCCATGGCTGCAAGGGACTTCAGCACTGGCTTCTATAAAAACACAAAGGATGATTTCTGTGGAAAGTCAGAAATAATTACTGAAGCCTGGTACTTTCCATGCGTTATCCTTCTACCAGGTGTTTCATTATTCCCGTTTCTCAGAGGAGTAAAATAAGGGATAGAGATTAAAAAGTGGCCCAAGGTCAGGATGTGAAGCCACACCTGTCAGATTCCAAAGCTTATGCACTGTCTACTATGCTAAGCTTTCTCTCCAATGCTCATCTCTATCTATTGCTTAAGACTTTAAAAATTAATCTGTCCTGCAGGAACAAGACATGGGCAATGAATGTGAATTTCTTCAAACTAAGATATAAAAAAGCCCCCGAGTATAAAATCCAACTCCAGAACTACAATCTGCATTTAAACAAGCTAATGACATTTCCTAACAATTAGTCACAGAGAGAGCAGGGCTCCTTTCTCTTTAAGATGCAAGACCTAGTGAACTGGACTTTGCCTCCCCCAAGAAATGCATTTCATTTTAGTAAATGGTGAGTAGATTCCATTCTAGAGCAAACAAAGCGAGTAATGTAGAGGCAGCCCACAGCAGAAAGAACAAGAAGAATTGTGTTGTGACAAGTTACCATGTTTTTAACCTCACACTGCACAGCATCAGGCCAGAATTAGCTATTCCCACACAATTGCCTCATGAAAAGGACTTATTTTCATAGAAACATGGTTGATTAACAGCTGCCTAAACAATGGGCACTTAGTGCTTTTAGGCTGAATGCTTATTTTTTGCCTCCAGGTCCAACTCCCAAAGTGGAGTCCCGCCTTCATTTTGAACCTCCCCACCAAATACGCGACAAGCTTTAACCAATGGGCCTGACCCTGTGAGACCAGCCGAGGAAAAAGTGGATCTTTGGAATCCAGCATGGCAGCAGCAAGAACTGAACAAGGCTGCATCAGGAACAATTCCAGGGTCAAATCCATTCAAGTCCTGCCCTGGGAGTCTGAGAAAGGGCTGAAGCTTGTTCAAGTTGCCCTTACAGCAAAGGGACTGAAGGATGAGATGTCAAAGGCGTGGGACTGGAAAAGAAGGAGAAGAGCTGGTTAACACGGGAATTGAGGGCAGTGTGGTGCTGGTATCTGTCACCACTCACCACCAGGGTCAACAGATTTGATAACCAAGTGAGGTTACAACATGTACCTACCAAAACACATCAGCACTGAGAAAGGAAGGATTGGAATTAATTAGGTCCACCTAGACGAACCAAAAGGAGGAAAGGAGTCCAAAGTGGACTAAATTACACTACAGGTTATTTTCTATGGCCACAAAATAAAATTCAGACTAAACCCTGAAATATAATACCACATCAAAATAGAGACTGGCCATAACTGACCTGCTGGAGCTATTAATAGCTACACTACATCTCTAGTGCTTTTTCAGATTTGCCAAGGCATTCCAAGGGAAGATCTGGGCCTCCTGAGGTGGTTATGGCGATACTCTCACAAGTCCTTCAACAAGGAAGAGCCAGTGAGGTACCCAAGGCAGCCGCACAGGCTGCCTAACTCTAACAGTCCCAGATTTTTTCCCCACTAGATCCTGTTAACCAACGTTAAGGTTTTTAGATTAAAACTAATTTATCTAGTTTCCCACCCAATCTCTAAGCAGAATAAGCTGCACCTCTGATTCACCAGGAGATGCTGAGAAAGACTCTACCTTCCACCAAACCAGTCCTTTCACTTTAATAGCCAGCAACAAATTCCTGTGAAGGAGCTACTGAAAGATTTTCAAAAACTTCTATCCTCTTTGGAGGTATAGGGGGAGGGCCCACCACAACAGGATGAGTGCTGGAGGGCCTAGACGGCCTTCTCTCTGACAGACACAGGTGAGGAGACTACATTCCACTCTTGGTCCGCTTTGATATTTTAAAATTATTTTTTGGAAATAACTTCATCAATCAGAAAACTGCAGCCTGACACCTGCTCTTCTACACTACATGTGTTAAAAATCTGTATATCCTCTGATCATGCAGTTATATTCTCTCTCCCCCAATGTAGCACTCATTCATCACAGATGCTAATTACTCCAATGAAAAGTGCCAAGGGAATCATTTGGTATCACATAGGTCTTAGCAGGGCTCAGCATCATGTGATCAATTCAGACAACTTGGGCTTATGATCACCAGTCAACTCTGCACATTTACAGCTCAGCTAAATTAACCATTCATTAAAACACAGCAATTCACATTGCAACGTGACCCAAATTAGATGCCCTATAAAAATCTTCATTTTCTCTCTAAATACTTCCAAGTTGAATGGTAAAGCAGTATCTTCGCCTTAGGCCAACTAGTCTATCTTTTAGCAATGAAAGAGAGAATTTTACTCATCAGCTTTCATTAATGCAGGATTCACTGGGTGGCAGTTTTTAAAACGCCCTCAATATGACTGAGTTCACTTTGGAAATCCTTCGCATTTCATGTATTTGTGAATTATTAAAATAAGGATGAGATGCTCCAGTATTAGTACAATATCACTTCAAGGTTTAGTTACCTCCGTGCATAAAAACAAAGACTAGCGGGGTGCCTGGGTGGCTCAGTCAGTTAAGTGTCTGCCTTCAGCTCAGGTCATGATTCCAGGGTCCTTGGATCAAGCCCCTGGCATTGTGTTCCCTCTCAGCAGGGAGCCTGCTTCTCCCTCCCTCTGCCTGCTGCTCCCCCTGCTTGTGCTATCAAATAAATAAAATCTTAAAAAAAAAAAAAAAAAAAAAGACTAGCACAGTTCACTATTCCATAACATTTGCAACCTAGGAAATGTGGATTAGATTTTTGTATGACAAAAACATACCTGACTGCTTTTACTTATTTCAAGTATTTGGCTAGAATAATCTATTTTTAATAAAGTTCAGCTCTTCTAATAGTCATTAATAATAGTTTAAATCAAAAGAGATGCAGAAGCTTGAATGAGATCTTTTTTTCTCTTTTTTTTTGCATTTTCTTGATGTATTCGGCTACTCCTGATGTGGAAGAAAAATCTAACTGCTAAAAATGTAACTCAGGACAAGATGATTTCTTTTGTTAGAGCAGAAGAGTATTTCAGGGCCTTTGCTTTTGGAGACTATTTTATTGGCAGGAAGACTCTTAGAAGATACCTATTAACAATAATACTTTAGGGGCGCCTGGGTGGCTCAGTCGTTAAGCGTCTGCCTTCGGCTCAGGTCATGATCCCAGGATCCTGGGATCGAGCCCCGCATCGGGCTCCCTGCTCCGCGGGAAGCCTGCTTCTCCCTCTCCCACTCCCCCTGCTTGTGTTCCCTCTCTCGCTGTGTCTCTCTCTGTCAAATAAATAAATAAAATCTTTAAAAAAAAAAAACAAAACACAATAATACTTTATACTGCCCGAGTCAAATATCCTTTATGCATTCTTACTATATTTACTACTTCCAAAATGTCACCTTCACTCTGTGATTGTTGCACTCATTTTTTTTATTCAGTCAAGTTTACTAGTTGCCCGTTGATCTAGAAACATCCTCCACCCTTTAGAATTTACGGGATCTTGGCCAGTCTCAGAGTAGAAATTCCTTCCTCCTTCCCACAGTCCGAGACCTCCTGTCCCCAAAGGCATGTCACAGGGCCTGTTTCATGTTGCACTCTCTCTGACCTCCATAACAGAATAAAGTAAAAGGAGCCCAGGAGCCTTTTATTCCATCTTACTAAACACATACTATTCTTTCTTTTCTAACTAGTCTAGGGATGAAATGACAAATTTTATATAGGTAAGTGGAGGAATTCCACGGATTCAGTGCTTGCTGAAAGCAAGGTGCTCTATGCTGGGTGTGAATAAAGGCTTCATAATGGTCCAGAGAAAACAGGGTGGGCTCTGCAACTGCTACCAGGTGGTAAAAATGGGCTACCCAGCTTCCTTTACCCAATTTGCTTTAGAATAAACAGCTTCTGCTTTCACTTTAAAGCACAATTAAAATATCCACTCTTCTCCCAAAAAGAGGGGAGGAGATGAAGATGAAGAAAACTCATTAACATACCAGTTCAAATAGTTCTCTTTCTGGACATTCAGGGGGAAGCCTCAACAGAGGCAGAGCCAGAAAGGACCAAGTGGAGTCACAGATACAGTCTACACAAGGCAGCAGCACTCTCTACTGCTTGAGCAGGGAAGGACACCAGGCAACACACTGGAATTGGCGATCTCTTATTCAGTGAGGGGAAAAAGCAACCAACTATCAATCGACCCAGACGGAAATCCTATTATTGCACACAGAAAGATATACACATGAAATAGCTGACTCAACCACAATAAATTTATGCTAGTTCCTTAAATGAGAGGTGTCACAATCTGTGGCATCTACCTAACTAACCTTTACTCCAGGGGACAGGAGACCCAACCATAAAGCTGCTAGCCAGAGGCTTGTTTTCATAACATACCCCAAAACCCACCATTTTCTATCCCTTGGTTCCCCATTCTGTGAGATCTCCTGCTACCCTCATCGGGACATTAGCACCCAACAAAAATCTAGAACTAAGGAACTATAATTAAGAAAAAGGCTGCTTTCTGAGTTTTGGGGGGAGGTGGGGGTGGAGGTGGGAACCAGAGTGAGGAGTCTAAATTGTCAACTGGCATGTGGCTTCTAAAGTTCTCACAAAAAATAATAAAGTTCTCTTGGTTCCTTACTTTAACAGGTAGTTGACTATCTCAGAGCAAACTGACAGAGGAAGAACTCTCAGGACAGAAACTCCCTGAGAATAAGAGAAAATGTTGCCTGCCTCACACACCCTCTCCAAAAGCCTAATAATAGAATCAGAAGAGATGGCTAACACTTTGCTTACCTGACAATCTGGTCTCCCCACAAAAACTTCAAATCATATGACAACAGAATATTAGGGGTCAGAATTGGACTCTGAAAGTCAAATATTCATATTTTCATTCTCAAAAGTCTCAACCACTCATACTCCTGCCAATAGTGGGATAAAAAAAGAACTGCTATTTTGGGCGCCTGGGTGGCTCAGTTGGTTAAGCGACTGCCTTCGGCTCAGGTCATGATCCCGGAGTCCCTGGATCGAGTCCCGCATCGGGCTCCCTGCTCGGCAGGGAGTCTGCTTCTCCCTCTGACCCTCCTCCCTCTCATGCTCTCTGTCTCTCATTCTCTCTCTCTCAAATAAATAAATAAAATCTTTAAAAAAAAAAAAAAAAAGAACTGCTATTTTGATTTATATGGGGAAGAAAAAAAATTGTCAATCCAATAAAATGAACAGACATTGGGATAACTTGTATGATGTTCTGCTCTTACTGCTGCTCTTACTGCTGAAATTCAGACAGTTTAAAAGAATACCTGGAACGACCTCTAAGTAACTTCCACATCACTCAGCACTGGAGAAAAGGGACCAAACATTAGTGGAATAAGGGTGAATGGGCTCTCAGAGGGACTGTGCATCAGACCACAAGGCACCTAGGCAGCCGCTGACCATTGTTCTCCAATCTTCTAAAGTCCTAGAGAAAAAAAGCAAAGGCAAGTGCCCAGTACTCAGCTTTTAAAAACTTTTAAAATACTAGCTTCAATGACTACACTCATCCCTGATTGGCTAGAATGTTCAATAAGCCCGGGTTTTAAGCCAATCAGATTTCTGGCCGTTGGGAATGGACTAAACACTAGAGCAACTGCCATTCAACTTGGCTCAATTTGGTTGGTTTCTGGTTCTGGTTAGTATATGGACCTGAATTAAAGCAGCAAGGACAGAAACACCCTTCCTCTGTACTCTACCTTAACTCCAGTTATGATTTAACAAATTTTTTTTAAAGACTTTATTTTTAAGTAATCTCTACACCCAACCTGGGGCTCGAACTCACAACCCCAAGATCAAGAGTTGTATGCTCTATCAACTGAGCCAGCCAGGCTCCCCTGATTTAACAATTTTGCCACTTATTAATATTAGGTTCAATTAACCAGTTAATCAAGTTCAATACTGGTATTCAGGATTCTGTATTCCTAGCTTCATCCTTTCCTTAACCATGACTTATTTGTCCCACCTCCCGTTTCTTCACCTCTGACCCCACACTTAAAGTATACCAAAATGAAAATGAAGGCTGAAAGCAGTGTTTTCACTGATTTGAATTTAAGGTCAAAGATAATATCCCATTCAGCTTGTGGGCTTACTGAAATGTCTAGCTGCCTACCATGGAACTTCAAGAGAAAGTTTAGAGAGACAAATGCCTAAGAATTTAAAACAGAGGAAGAAGAGCTGGGGAAGGCATCCCCACAAGCTCTTCAGTTATGGCCATGAACTCCAAAATGTCCCAGGAAGCTGTAGTAAATAAATAAATAGCAACTGCAGCAGACCCTGAGATATGGATTCAGGGTTCAGTGCTTCCCACCAACAACATGAATAGAGAAAGAAAAAGCAAACTCTACAGAGTTTATGATACCTGGGTACTGAGAAAGGACCCAATGTTCTTGCTTGAGTCCACCATGAAAACAGATACACAGATTATCAGATCAAGGAATCAGATAAGGATGTTCTATTTCCTAAATCTACGGCTTCCATTGGTTCCTTTAGACCCTATTGTCCAGTCACGCTGGATACATGCTGAGACACAGAAGTTTTTCCTCTACTGATGAGAAACTTGAAATCCTTCGATTTTACCATAATAAAGACTGCCTACAGACACCTCCCCAGCCCAGGAAATGTGACCAGAGAGCCTTCACTTGAGACAGGTATTCATATATCAGATAAAGCAATCAGCAACTTCCCAGGCAAGTGTAAGGCTTGAAATTAAATTAGCTGAATTGTAAAACCTCTGAAATTTATCTCTCTGGCTCCCCAAGTAGCCTTCTCTGTTCTGGTGGGCAAAGAGAAATTCAGAACCCTGATCTATTTTGGAGTGCCAACTAATACATCTTTTATTTTAGCCTCTCAGCTGCTATGGGGGAAAAAGAACTTTGTCAGAGTGACAGACAAAAAAGAAACTGAAGTCCATTTCTTTTCTCTCTAAAGACACTAAAGCTAATGAAATAAAACATGCAGCCATTTAAAATGCTGCAACCACGAGGACCCGTGTCTTGAAAGCTCTTCTCACTTTGCCCCCTGTGGGACTGTAACAATTTAGCAGCAGCAGCATGCTCTTGAGCCAAGAAGCAAGGAAGGAAGGACTCCTTGCTGGACTCCACAAAAACTACCCAAGAGACCCATCAACTCCAGTGTCCCCAAGTGAACTGGTAGTAGGACTGTAACAAGAGACACAAACTTGGCCAAATGACTAAAGGGCATCTGTAAGGGATGTCCCTATCCCTGCCCTCTGCTATGGCTACACAGGATTACAGGATACATGAAAAATGTAAAATTACCTTCCTCCAAAACCTCTACATCATCACTCCATTTTCAGCATTGGAAAACCATACATAAACAAGGCTTTTTCTTACTAACAGAGCCCAGTGTTTACTCTCCTAAGGATGCCCATACATGGCAGAAAGTCAATATATAGTGATTTTATTTCACTATATTTTCCTTTTGATTTGCTCACATAAGTGGTATATACTAAGTATCTATGTGTTATTATAACTAAAGTATCTATGTAAGTATGTATTACATATAAGTCTAGCAAGGATGTATTTTTTTCAGTTAAATTTACAGTATTTTTTTTCAGTGGTAGATAAAACCGTGCATTTTACAGTCAATGACATCTTAAATTCCATGAAATAAGGCAGTTAACCTAAGTCAACACCCCTCCTTATTCTGCTGTACTGCTACCAAATATGATGTTTTTGTGTGATGTGGTCATGTTACAGCATCACCTATTTTGCATTTCTTAATATACCTTCAGGTTCATTTACTATAATTTTATGAGGCCGTGTTTGTTTGTTTAAAGAAGGACCTGCTTTAGATAGAGGGCTTTGAAGTAAAACCCCAATTAGGGACAAAGATCTATACTAAGTAGGAGAAGGTTTTTTCAAATTACTACATATAGCCCAAGTTCCTATTTATAGCACACAACCCCCCGCCCCCCACTCTTTACAATACCAAGTAAATCCTTGCAATTAATGTAAGCTCTGTCTGTGCCCGGCTGGGGGGAGGGGTGGGAGAGGGGAGTTTTGTTTCCCACTTTGCAGTTCCTTAATGATGCTTAATCCTAACCACCTGAGAACTAGGTATGATGTGAAAACTCAAAACTAAGAACAGAGACTAGACTCTGGTATCCTGCCTTCTCTGATTATCCTGGGGACTTACTACACACTTGGTCAAGCCTCTCAGTTCTCAACAGATCTTGGGACACAGGCTGCAGTAAATTACCCTGAAGCTTGATTAACGATTCATTCCACCACAGTGAGTACCTCCTGTATTTCTAATTTGGACAGTAAAAAATTCTCAGAATCCTGGTTTCGGATCTCATGAAGCCAGACTGAAGCCATACAGGGATTAGTACAAAGATATGGAAGATGAGGGAAGGAAACTAAGGGAATTGAAGCCAATTAATCTGCAGTTGATAACGAACGGAAGCCGGGCTTCCGAAACCTTTTCGATAATTCTCCTTCAGCATTAGGACAAGTATGACTACCCACAACTGCGTTCCAACCCACTTCCAATAACCTGCCTTAGCTGTAGCCAGAATCCAGAGTGTTCTCGAAAACCACTCACTCAGCAGCTCCCTTGGCTAGCCCAGACTGGCAATCTCGAGCCACTGCGGCTGCCCAGCAGTGCCAACAGCGCCCAAGCAGTTGCGTTCCTCTCTGCTGTTTAACTTAAGAACAGTCCTGGGAAGAATGAGGATCTTCCTCCGGAAGGACGGAGGGGCAGGAGTTTGACGTGTAGAGCATGAGACAGGGCCCTCACTCTTCCTTCTTCCCCTCTCATCTCCGACTTCTGGGGTACGGGGAGGGGGCACCAGGTCAATAATGGAGACACACTCGGACCCAGGCTAGTGGTCGCCGGGGTACATTACTGAGGAACGAGGGTGAGAAGAACAAGGGCTCTGAAGATGCAAAGTGCTGATAGCCAACAATGCATAGAAGTTAACAAGAGAAGGGGGGTCGGGGGCGACGTAAGGAAGTCGTCATCGTCGCCGCGCAGCCTCCCCCACCCCATAACAGACCTCTGAGATCCCCTCAGAGACCCGGCTTCTACAATAAGGGCGACGTTCCTCCTGTCCCGAGAACAAGGCTGTGCCTCCGCTCCCCAGCCAGGCGGAAGCAGGAGGGGAGGGCCGACCTCCGGGAGCACCCCTTCAGGGGGTCTATCGGGACTTATCTCAGATGGGGGGGGGTCGCGGAGGGCGGGGCATCGCCTCAACAGGGGCTGCACCATGGCAGGGACGGGTTTCCCGGGGTCACGGAGCTGAAGCTCACCCCTTCCACTCCCCCGCTACCCGGTTACCTCTTCGCTTCCTCGTCGTCGTGCAGCTCTGGCTCGGTCGCCGCCATTACCACATCGCACTCCGCGGCAGCCGCCATCTTACCGCCGGGACCAGAGAGGCGGGTGGGAGGCAGGCGGTGAAGAGCACTTCCGGCTGGAGCATCGAGCAGCTCAGCGGCGCTGCGCCCAGAGAGGCTCCCTCGGGCCCGTCTACCAGCGAGAGGCTCCGCTTGGGGCCAGAGCGGCCTCCCGCCCGCGGAGGTCCACGGTGGTCTCCGCGCCGGGGCGGGGGCCCAGGGACGGTTCCTGTGCGTAGGGGGCGCCACTTTATCCGTGGGTCGGAAGTGAGGGGTACAAGAGGGTGACTCCTCTCTAGGCCTGAGTTCTCCTCAGTATTCTGAGAGCTTCGTTGCCATAGCAACTTCCAATCCTAGAGAGTCTCCGGTAAGGTTCAGGAGAGTCTGAATTGGGTTGAGGACTCGATGACCCAGGACTCCAGAGGGAAAGATCCCCCACTACTACCTTCTCGACCCTTGGAGTGTGTCCACTGCTTCCTCCCGGGAAAGGCAAGAAGACACACTTTAAGCCCAGTTCCTCCAGCTTTCATCGGCCCTTGGAAGCCCTGCCCAACCAAGCCAGGGGAACGCAGGGCGTCTTCACCCCGCGCCTTTCATCCCCTCTGGATCTCCAAGCAACAACTGGTTCATCACCCTAATGACGCTGACCCTTTTATGAGGCTGCTTTCATGTCAGCTGCCTGGGAGTGCCATCTCAGCATTAAGCCTAGGGAGGGTGGCACGGCGCCCCAGACCCTGCCCTGGAGTTTATAAGGCAGCTCGCAGGGTGAGGTCCCTGCTCCATAGTGTCCCCAGTACTCTCACCCTTTATAGAAACACCCTGCTCAGCACGCTTGTCTTGCCGAATGCAGTCTGGACTGGGAACTCAGACAGGGCAAGGACACAGCCTAATCATCTTTGTAGTACCTCCCTCACCCAAACCAATAGTATTTGTGGGTATGAATTAAACTGGAGTTTTCTGAGGTTAAATTGGGGGAGTTTGAGGTTAAAATTTTAGAGTTAAGAGGAACTAAAATAAGGGGGCAAGTGAATTTAAAAAGGATGGACTCCTTTCCTCCATTTCTCCCTAGTATGTGCTATTCTCAGTAGGCTGCTTGCAAGGTCCTGCCTATCACAGTGCTAAGGGAGCAGAAACCACACACACCACTGGATAGGGAAGGATGGGAGAGGCTCAGTGGGTGGGAAGAGAGAAGTCATTCATCCAGCCAATCATTCACTAGCCTCTCCAAAGTGCCTACTTTGTGCTAGGTTGGGAGGGCACAGACTCAGAGACCACTTACCCTGTCTGCCAATGGCTCACAGTCTACCATCTGCTGCAGGTAGCCAACCTGTCTTTAGTCTTTAGACCATCTTCTCACTGTGTTCTTTGCATCTAAGCCATCTCATTTACTCATAGCTTTTTTTTTTTTTAAGGTTTTATTTATTTATTTGACAGAGAGAGACACAGTGAGAGGGGGAACACAAGCAGGGGGAGTGGGAGAGGGAGAAGCAGGCTCCCACTGAGCAGGGAGCCCGATGCGGGTTGGATCCCAGGGTCCTGGGATCATGACCTGAGCCGAAGGCAGATGCTTAACGACTGAGCCACCCAGGCGCCCCTACTCTCATAGCTTTAATTTTAGCTGTAGATGACGCTGAATTCTGTTGATATCTCCAATCTAGAATTCTCAGTTGTGAGTTCTAGATGTCTATATCCAACTATCTACTGGATCTCTTGGGTGTTTCACAAAACCTGGAGACATAACATATTTAAGATGAACTTATCATTCTCTCCCCACTTTTCAACAAAAGAAAAAACAAATGCAGTACTTGATTCTCTTTTCCTGAATTCCTTATCTTGTCAAATCGATTCACCATGCAACTGATCACCAAATTAGAAAGATAGGAGACATCATAAACTCCCTCTTTCTTACTCCTGACTCCCAACTTATCACCGAGTCTTGTTGATTCTCCTACCAAATATCTTCTAAATCTATCTCTCTCTGTTCCACCCCAATTCAGGCTCTCATCATTTTTATTTTAAAACTTGGGATACTACCATTGTCTCCTAACTGGCCCCCAGTCTCATCTCGCTCCATTCTTTAATCTTCTACCAATGACTTTCTACACTTGATCTTAGCCAAAAGGCCGAGAAGCGATTGCCAATGACTTTCTTAAAAGCAAAAACTGATCACGTCACTTCATTGGCATAAAATCTATCAATGGCTTTCCACTGCTGTTAGGATACAGTTTGAACTCTTTGACCTACCACACAAAGTCTTTGATTATTTGCCTCCCTTCGACCATCAATATTGACCCCAAATACTTGTAGTTTCAGAAAAATGCCATGACTTTTGCCAGTTTCCTCCACCCTTTCCTTCCACACCCTTCAAATCTCAAAACAGACATAACCTCCTCCAGGAAGTTTTCCATGATGCCCACTGTCCCTGAAGTTAAATACCGTTTGCTCTGCTCCCATAGCACCTCCGTAATAGTTCTCACCGTGCTCTACTGTAATTGTCTAGCTCCTCCGGACGGTAACGTTCTAACTCGTCCATTTTTTTCTCAGCATGTGGTTTTGTACCTGGCACAGAGTAGGTGCTCAGAAAACATCTGACGAATAAACGATTGAATAAAAGAAGTGTTACTGCTCTATGGTAGTCTTTAGAGAAAGAACATTTGGGCATCAGAAACACCAGCACCGCTCGTCCCCGGCGCCTAGAACGGTGTGCTCAGGCGCACAGCCGGCCCATGTCCCGTCATTCTCCCCGCCGGCCGCTGGGGGCGCTGTGAGTCCGGCTCCCGCTGCCCGCCGCCGGAATTGGTCATGCCGGACGGAAGCTGGGGGGGCGGGGCCGGACGGAGCCTGGAAGGACCCGGGAGGAAAAGCAGAGTCCTTGTGGCTGTGCTGCCCCTCCCCTGGTCCCGGCGCGCCTAGAGGGGCCCGGCCGGGGTGCTGCGAGGGCTCCGGGAGGTACGGAGCTGGGAGGCCACCGCGTCCGGGCCGCCTTAGGTGGCGGGTCTCTGCCTCCGATTCCCTCGGGGGGAATAGGTGGCGGAAGCCCTCTGGCAGTCTCTCTTAGGGGTATCCCTTAGTTGCGGGGCCCGCAGGCGGGAGGAGGGGTCTGTATCAGGAGTTTACTCGAGAGGTCTCTGTTTGGGACACCTTTTGGGAGTACATCTGTATCTGCTGTCTGGGGCAGTCTTGGTGTGGGGTTCCTTCTGGGAAGCCTATGTTTGGGATGCCTTCGACGAGATCTCTGTCTGGGACCTCTTCGGCGAAGGGGTTTCTGTGTCAGCCTCTTCATCCTGCTTTGTCCGTTGAAGGGCAGCACAGATTTTCTCCTTTCCAAAGCCTTTTCCCCTTAGATTCTTTGACTCTTTTCTTTCTTGTCTGATGTTCTTCATCTTAGCCATGGACTTGACTGGGAATTAGAGGGAATTAATTGTTGTCCAGGTAAATCATACAGGAAAGCAAAATACCCTCCTTGTTTGCTCACTCTCCCCACGAAGAGCGGCTTAAGACAGATCCATACAAAACGGGATCCCTGCTTATTTCTCCATGGAGTCATGGTTCAAGACCAGAAGCTGAGCCAGAGCTCCCTTCAGCAACTGGTCTTCCACATCCTGTGCACAGAAGGGAACCTGGGCAGTGGTTCCTTTGAAGCAGAGACTCTCTTCCCCCTTTATGGCATCATTTACTGAGAACCTGTCCTGAGCCAGTTACTGGCCCTGTACTGGTTATAACAGAGATGAATAAATTATAGCTCACTGTCCAGTAACAGACATAGACACATCATTCCAGTACACCCTGACCCTAGGAGGGGACAGACAGTGCTGAATCCCTGAGGCCTGTGTATTCTGTCCAGATCCTGGACTCTCAGTTACGGGAGGTCTGCCCACTTTTTCATCCCACTTAACCCAGTGTGCCTCTGTTTTTCAGGGTTGAAGGCTAAGCATGGGGAAGAGCTGCAAGGTGGTCGTGTGTGGCCAAGCATCTGTGGGCAAAACATCAATCCTGGAGCAGCTTCTGTATGGGAACCATGTAGTAGGTGAGTGTTGTTGGGGCGGGGGGCATGGTGGAAGAAGTTGAAGAATAAGTAGGATTTGATCACAACACGAAAAGGCTACCTTTTCGGTGGTGGTGGTTATTGCACCCCACAGAGTAAAACTGCATAATGACCCCAACCCTAGCATATTGAAATCCGGAGAGAGGAAACCCAATACTTGAGCTAGGGAGGAAAAGCTCTCAAGTCACACTTTTGCTTAGCATGGAATTAGCATGAGATTAATGTCTGTTCCCCCCACACACACACACACAAGTCATCCAGTCCTGCCGGACTGTCCATCCCTGGCCCTCTCTCTTCGGCCCCACATTCCTTTCTCTCTGGCTGGTAAGCCTTTTAGGATATACTCAGTCACTCATGTTTCCCACCTTCCTTCTCTCTACAAACAAGTTTTCTCTTCATCTTGTCCCAGGTTCTGAGATGATTGAGACCCAGGAAGACATCTATGTGGGCTCCATTGAGACCGACCGGGGGGTGCGGGAGCAGGTGCGTTTCTATGACACCCGGGGGCTCCGAGATGGGGCTGAACTGCCCCGGCACTGCTTCTCCTGCACCGACGGCTATGTCCTGGTCTACAGCACGGACAGCCGAGAGTCTTTTCAGCGTGTGGAGCTGCTCAAGAAGGAAATCGACAAATCCAAGGACAAGAAGGAGGTTTGTGTGTGCAGGGGACACTGGTGATGAGAGGGAGTAGGCCCTGGGCTAGTTTTGGGGAGCCTGGCATGGCTGTTTTTCATTCATATCTCAGGAGATGGGGTAGGAGCTAGAGGGGGGATGGAGGCCACTGGAGGCGGTCTTCCCCCTGGAGGTGGCCGTGTGTTGAGGCAGCTCAACCAGAGAGGCTTTTCTTTAGTTTCAGGGGTTCCTGACCTAACTCCAGAAGCCCCCACTAATCTTTCTTGATGATGGTTCCTTGCTCTTAGCTGTGAAGGCCCTTCTGTTCTCACATCCCCCTGTAAGCTGCAGGTATTTGGAGGGGTGCTCCCTTACCAGTTGTTTAGACAGACTGATAGCTAGTAACGAGCAGGCATAGGTGATACAGGGTTTATAAGGGAACTCCTGGAGGGAGGGCCAGATGGAGGCCAGAATTTAAACAGAGGAAGGAGAGGACAAAGCAACCATCTCCCTCTCCCCAGTTACTGTTTCTAATATAGGAAGAGGTGAAACGTTCGCCATTGAGACTTTCCCTTCTCTTAGGACTCCTAGGTAGGTGCCTGCCATCACACCCAGGCCTGAGGTCCACAGTACATCCTCAGGTCTCTACTCTGTCTTCCCCAGGTCACCATCGTGGTCCTGGGCAACAAGTGTGACCTGCAGGAGCAGCGGCGTGTCGACCCAGACGTGGCTCAGCACTGGGCCAAGTCCGAGAAGGTGAAACTGTGGGAGGTATCTGTGGCTGACCGCCGCTCTCTGCTGGAGCCCTTCGTCTACCTGGCCAGCAAGATGACCCAGCCCCAGAGCAAGTCTGCTTTCCCCCTCAGCCGCAAGAACAAGGGCAGCGGCTCCTTAGACGGCTGAAGAGCTGCCATTCCCTCTCCACCTACCCAGCCTCATTCCAGCTTCTGGGGCTCTGGAGGATGTGTCCAGGGGTGGGGTTAGGCAAGCTGTCCCTCCCAGGCCAGGCAGCTGGGCTGTCCCAGGCTCAGGTCACTTTCGCTCCCTCCCAACTCTGGGAAGTGCAGATAATCGAGGCTAGTGCCCCCAAATCCTGCCTCTCCTCCAGCTCTCATCATCCCTGCCCTGCTGTGACCTGAGGCAGTTGTGGGTCAGTGTCCCCTCCTGCCTGCCCTGGCTCGGAAGCAGAGCCACCATGCAGAAGTTCCCGGTCCAGGCTCTGGTTTGTCACAGGGGTCCCCCCACCTGTGGGTTTCCTGCCAGTGACACACACACACACACACTCACACCTATGGCACCAGCCTGGACTCTGGAGAAAGGCATCTGGGTATCGCGTACATGCATGTAGACGTGTGCACGCGTTCATGTGTGTGCCTGCTGGTGTCCAGCTCTGACTGGCCTCTCCTTGGCTGGAAGAAGCCAGCCGCCTGGGAAGTGTAATTTTCCGCTTTCACTCTCCACCCCCCGCCCAAGTTGTTTTGCTTCCTCTTCCTGCTCAGGGAGCACACGGCCCTCATTGGCTGAGATGGAATGGAATGAAGGCTGGGCTTCACCCGCTGGCTTTGGGACCCTGCAAGGCCTTTCTCCTCTCTGGGTTTCAGTTTTCTCATCTGTAAGGTGATGGGAGTTGCTTAGATGATCTTCTGGATCCTTTCCAGCCCTCAGATTTTCTCATGCCCGTGGCTTCGGGCTGGCTGTTACTGTGCCCTGGCTTCTGCCTCTTCAAGGTGCTATGCCTCCTGGCCCTGGAGGCTGAGACACTGCTCCCCCGAACCACCAGGGGGCAGGCGTGCACTGTCCGCTCTAGTGGCCAGAGTGGCTGCCCAGTGCCCACTCAGCGGACCTCACACCGGTGGGGCCTGGTCTTCACCCCTTCCTGTGGTGGTTTTCGGCTAATAGCTGGACTTCTATTTATAAATTACTTGTGTTTCTCTGCCTGCTGCCATGGTGAAGGCTGGACAAGGTGCTCCTCTAGCCCCTCCTTACCTCAGATGCCTGAACAGAACAAGGCAAACCAGTAGCAGCTTCTCAGGAGCTGTCAGATCTGTCGGAACTCAGAAGGGTGGTTACACTTTCAACATGCTATAAAGTGAGCTTGTCACCCACAACTCCCCATGTCCACTTCATGCTTCTAATGTGCACACCCAGTGTAGATGAGACGCTAGAGCCAGGTGACTGACTTCTAGTACACACCCCTTCTCCCCAAGACGGGAGAGGCGAGCAGGACGGGCCACCCAGGGCTGGGCGAGTCGAATTAGGGCATATACAGGCTCGGGCTTGAATTCATTTATTGATGCGTTGGACACAATAAAACCACAACTGTTATCAAAAAGTTTCCCTTCCCTCCCCCCTTCTTGTCCTCCCATTGGAAATATCTAAAAAAAGAAAAGATACAGGTGGATACTGGCAAAGTCCCATATTGTGGGATGAAGGAGCAGTGCTGGGGGTGGGATGGGGGTTGTGACATTGACTTTGACAACATGAAAATAGGTCTTGAGAGTATGTCATCCTGGATCCCAACACTCAGTTTCACAGTGAGGGGGGCTGGGTGCTAGTTGGAAGGAGGGGAAGCTGGATTTGGTGTTAGGGACCAGCTTGGGGTGAGGAGCTGGAGGGGAAAGCTCTTTGTTTGGGAGCCCTGGCGTAGGGAGGTTGGTGTTTGCTGGGTCCAGAGTCTGAGACCCAGTGCTTCCCCCCACCCAGGTGGGGTTCACAAGGAATCAAAGGCTGAGGAGCTTGTGTGGGGTTGATCACCTCTGTTAAAACTGGGCCCAGCCAGAAAATCACCCTCACCTACCCCTCTCCTAGCGCCATCTTGTCAGAGCAAAGGAACCCCAAAAGCCTTCAGCCCCAGCCCCATTTTGGCTTTGCCCCCACGTAGCACTGCTCCCTTTCTCCTCCACAGTCTTCTTCCACTCCCCCAGGGTCACCCTGTCCAGATAGCCTTGAACCCTCTCCAGCTTGAGACCCCATCTGCCACCTCAGCGATTCTCTGGAGAATCGAGTAAATGGGGAGGGCCTCCCCTGCAGACTTGTCCCCAGCTCAAAGTTAAGATTCCTAGGGCCTCTGGCCATGGGGGTATAGGTCTCGAGTGGGGGAAATGAGAGCACCATGGGGCTGGGGCTAGGATTTTGCATAGATCTTTGGGATTTCTCAGTTTGCTCCCCATAAATCAGGCTGGAAAATGCAGGGGAGCCCAGCAGTAGCCTGAGAAGGCTGGGGAAAGGAGGGTGGGGATGGAAGGGCCTTGGGCCAGGAGGGTAGTAGTGGAGTCCCTAGACCAGACTGGGTAAAGGCAGATGCCCTTGAAACTAGCCCAGCTCTTCCTAGATTGGGCAGGAAGCCCTCGGCTGTAAAAGGCAGTTTCCTGGGGATGGAGGAAACTGAGGCATCTTGGGAAGAGGAAGTGGGGAGAGCAACTGCTGGGAAATGAGCCCTGGCCTCCCCAGGAAGCCTAGTAGGGGGCAAAGACAATGGGCCCTGTGGCAGGGCGGACAGCTCCTGCTGGGGTACGAAACAGAGCTGGGCCCAGGATGGGAGCTGGGAAGAGGGTGGTGGCTGCTGTGGGAGCAGGCCGGAGGGCCAGGGGCCCTGGCAGGGCACAGATGGCAGCAGCTGCGGCCGGGATCGGGCTGGGCAGAAAGCGGGCCGCCAGCGTCTTGGTGAGTTGCTTCTGCAAGGCCAGTTTCGACTGCAGAGAGGAGAGAGAGGAATGGACCCAGTCTGACCCAGGAAAATCCACCCCCTCCCGGGGCTCCATCCTTGGGCTTTCTGCTGCAGGAAAGACGTGCCTTTTAGGGTTCCAAGCCTAAATCCTCCCTTCCCACCCCCAAACACTCATTCCAAAGGGCTTTCTCCACCACCTGTCTTCCTGCCCAGGGGAAGGAGGCTGTGGGGGGGTGGGGGCAGAGATGGTCTCTAGGAGATGCACGCCCACCCCTTGCTCTTGACCCACCTCCCCGGAAATTCCTCTGGGCAGATCCCAAGATGGCCAAAAACACCAGTCCAGCTCTCCCTCAGCCTAGGCAGCCTTGAAGGTCGGGGGAGGGAGGGTGGCTTCCTTCCTGCCCCACCTTCTCCCCGCCCCCCCCTCCAGTCTCCCCACCTTGCCCTTCTGGTCCACTCCCTCCCCCTCCGGACCCGGGCCCAGCCCTGTTGCCTGGAGACAGATACCTTGAGGACACTCACAGCCAGCGCCGCATGCTTCTGCAGCTTGCTGTGCTGGCTGGAGGGCTTGGGGGGCTTCCCAGCCAGGCGGTCTTTGTGTCTCCTGCTGCTCAGGTGCTAACGGACAAACAGACAGACAGACTGGCAATGGGATGAGGAAGCCCAAGGACCCCCCCACAACCCTATCATCCTCAACTAGCTAACCCTTCCTCCACCCGTGAGTTGCATGTTGGACACACATTTGTGGGGTGTCACCCTGGGAAGCGGAGGTGAGACTTGGCCTTTGCCCTCCAGGAGCCCTCTGTCCTTCCAGCCTTGCTCCTCTTCCTTTACTGGCTCCCTCCAGGCACCCGACACCAGTTCCACCCCCTCAGCCCTGCTCCAGCCCCAGTCCCAGCCTCACTTCTCCCACCTGCTTGAGCTGGGTCTCTGAATTGACTTGGAGCTGACACAGAGCACAGTGAAAAGGAGGGCTGGGCCCCTGTCGGCCCCCCTGGCCCCCTGCCACTCTCTTGGCCTTGTGTCCAGCTCCCCGGGGAACTGGGCGGCCCCGGCCCCTTCGGGGAGCACCTCGCTGACCTTCCACCATCCACCGGTGCTTGGCTCCTGAGGGAGGAGGGAAGACAACCCATCAGCACCGAAGAGGAGCTGCAAGGGCCATGGAGACCCCCCCCCGCCAACACACCGAACTAGGTCAGTCTGGCTGCCCCATCAAGCCTCCAGCCACCTGAGAATTCTCTTCCCCACCTCCGCAAGGTCCTCCCAGCTTCAATCATTTTCCGCCAGCCGCCCCCCACACCCAGGCCTTCTTGCGGTGGAACTACACGGCTTCCCTTTGCTCTCATCTCCTGCCTTCCTTCTGGGTCTGACCTATGGACAGATGGAGGAAGTGTTTCCGGCCTTCTCCCAGTGACCCTTCAGTCCTTGCTGCCCCAGACTTCTCTTCCCAATTCTCCCACCTCAAAAACCAGCTGGAGGAGCCAGAATGCCCACCCAATCACAGCTGAACACAAGGCCTGTGTCACCAGGCCCTTGAGACAAATGCCCAGAAAGTTCAGCCTGCGTGCAGCTGGGGAGGGCCGGCTGCCTGCCCTCTCCTCTCCTAGACTCCAGCGCACTGACCTGTGTTGTGAGCCTGAAGCTGGGAGGCAGAGTTCACTGTCACCTTGCATGTGGGGCAATAGAGGCGCCCCTTCTCGCTCCTGCCCTCCACACTCACACCAGTTCCCACAGCAGCAGCTGCTGGCTCAGGCCCTGGCGCCTCTCTCCCAGGCTCTGGGGAGCAGGGTGGGCAGGAGGAAGAAGAAGAGGAGGCAGCATCCAAGAGGTCTGAGTGGGCCGGCTCCCTGGGCGTGGGGTCCGGAGTCAGCGGTGGCTGGTGTTGGGGTCCAGGAAGAAGGGCCTCAGGAACTGCTGGGGAGATGGAAGGCATCGGGTAAGAATCATCTCGAGACCATGATTTTAAGTAGTGATATACTGGGGGTGGCATGGCAGAGTGGAAGCATCCCTGACGTAGGGATGACCAGCAGTGAAATCCAGACTCCACGCTCCCACCAACTCACTGGGCAGACTTGGGCCTCTTTGGGCCTCAGCTTCCCCATCTGAAAATATAAAGTTGGACAGAGGGGTCTCAGAAAGCCCTCACAGCCCTGATACTTCAGAATTATTAGCTAACTGTAAAATAAGTGGAAGTCACCAAAAAGATGCACTGGAATATTCATAGAGCACCACTCATAATAGCATAAAACTGGAAACTCTCCAGGGTGCCTGGGTGGCTCAGTTGGCTGAGCATCTGCCTTCAGCTCAGGTCATGATCTCAGGGTCCTGGAATCGAGCCCCGCTTCTAGTTCTGCACTTAGTGGGGAATCTGCTTCTCCCTGTCCCTCTGCCCCTCCCCCTTGCTCATGCTCGCTCTCTCGCTCTCTCTTTTTTTTTTTTTTAAGATTTTATTTATTCATTTGAGAGAGAGAGAATGAGAGACAGAGAGCACGAGCGGGAAGAGGGTCAGAGGGAGAAGCAGACCCCCCGCCGAGCAGGGAGCCCAATGCGGGACTCGATCCCGGGACTCTAGGATCATGACCTGAGCCGAAGGCAGCCGTCCAACCAACTGAGCCACCCAGGCGCCCTCTCTCGCTCTCTCTTAAATAAATAAAATCTTTTAAAAAAAGATAAAACTGGAAACTATCCAAATGTCCATAACAGGAGAGTAGATTTTAAAAAAGAGTTGTATGGTCACACAAGAGGGCTCTACACAGCTTCATGCAACAACACTGAAGAGGCCAGGTACAAAATCTCCCTACTACAGGATTCACCAAAACCAGGAGCAACTGATCGATGGCAAGAAAAGTCAAGATCACTTGGGGGAGGGGTGTAGGTAGTGGAATAGTGTTGCCCCCAAATTCACGTCTGCCTGAAACCTCAGAATGTGATCTTATTGGGACCCAGGGTCTTTGCAGATGTAAGTAGTTAAGATGAGATCATAGTGGACCAGGGTGGACCCTAATCCAATGACTGGTGTCATAAGAAGACCATGTGGAAATAAAATAGGATAAAAACAGAGAGGGAGACAAACCACAAGAGACTCTTAACTCTAGGAAACAAACAGGGTTGCTGGAGGGGAGGTGGGGGGGATGGGATAAATGGATGATGGGCATTAAGGAGGGCACCTGATGCAATGAGCACTGGGTGTTGTATGCAACTGATTCTACCCCGAAACTAATAATACACTATACGTTAACTAATTTGAATTTAAATAAAACAAAACAAAACAAAACAAGACCATGTGAAGACACAGAGACATGGGGAGAATGTGATGTGAAGACAGAGGCAGAGATTGCAGGGATGCATCTATAAGCCAAGGAACGCCAAAGATGGTCAGCAACCACCAGAAGCTAGATGAGAGGCGTGAGACAGATTCTCCATCTGAGCCCCATCCCATAGACACCTTGATTTCAAATTTCTCACCTCCAGAATGGTGAGAAAATAAATGTCTGTTGTTTTCAGCCACCCACTGTGGGGTCATTCACTGTGGTAGCCCTGGGAAGCTAATACAACGAGGCAGTGACTGGGGGAGGGGGCAGCAAGGAGGGCTTCTGAGCGCCAGTGCCATGTTTCTTGATCTTGGTATGTTCAGACTGGGAAAGTTCGTTGAGCTCAACACTTGTGATGTGTGCCTTTTTCTGTATGTATGGGCTACCCCAACATAGACAAAAATAATAAGCAGAAATCTCCCAACCCCTCACCGGAAACCAGATTTGGATTGGGGAGTGGGGAGGGGAGGGAGAAGAGTTCAGGACTGACCTTTGTTCTGCGGCTCTCCTGGGGATCCACTGGCTGAAGTCGGGGTTGGGGACACCAGCACCCCATCCTGGGCCAGGGTTTGTGGCCTCTGCTTGCTCTTGGCAGCTTCGACAGCCTTGAGTTTTCTGGCGTGTTTGTGGCCTTTGTAATGTGCTTCGGCTTGGTTCTGGGGAGGGGAGGGCTTGGGGTCACCATTTATTTGCTGAGTCTGCATGCCCCCTCCATGAGCTGGCGCTGGGCAGGGGGCAGATCAGAGGGGGCAGGGCTTCAGCCAGACAAGAGGGGAATCCTTGTTTTGTTTTGTTTTTTAAAGATTTTATTTATTTGACAGAGAGAGACACAGCGAGAGAGGGAACACAAGCAGGGGGAGCGGGAGAGGGAGAAGCAGGCTTCCCGCTGAGCAGGGAGCCTGATGCGATGCGGGGCTCGATCCCAGGACCCTGGGATCATGACCCGAGCCAAAGGTAGACACTTAAGGACTGAGCCACCCAGGTGCCTCAGAGGGGAATCCTTATCATCACAGCATGTGTGTGGCCCTGAGGTTTACAGAATTCCTTCTCATACATACATGAGCCCCCAGGCAAGCAGCTTCTGGCTTCAAATTCTGTCTCAGCCACTTATTAGCTGTGCATCTCTGGGCAAGTCGCCTCACCTCTCTGAGCCTCAGTTTGCTGACTCGTAAACTTTGTGACAATACTGACCTCACAGGGTTGTGAGAATTAAAAAGAACATGAAGGGCGCCTGGGTGGCTCAGTCAGTTAAGCAGCCGACTCTTGATTTTGGCTCAGGTCATGATCTCAGGGTCGTGAGATGGAGCCCCGCGTGGGGCTCCGCGCTCAGCCAGGGGTCTGCTTGAGATTCTTTCTCCCTCTGCCCCTCCCTCCACTCTCTCTCAAATAAATAAAATCTTTAAAAATAAATAAATAAAAGTAAATAGAACACGAATGACAAGGGCCTAATACATACAGCAGGTGCTCAACAAATGTTAGTTACCAAGTTCATAAATGCACAAATGGAAAAAGTAGAGCATTCCTCATACTTGGGGTATGTGCACCCCAGAACATTCATCCCTTTGTTCATTTTTTTCAGCAAATCGTTTTTGAGCATTTGCTCTTTGCCAGGCTCTGTGCCAGGGGCCCGGCATGGAGAAGACATGGTCCCTCCCTCAGAGTGACGTCTTTCTGTCCATCTCTTGCAAGACTCATATGACCTGAAAACTTGAAAAGAACCCCTGAATCTAGCCTGTTAGTGTCCTCCCTCCTTCAACCAGAGGTCCCTGCTTATTGCTCCCAAGTATAGGAAGGACAGGCCCCTGTGGCCCCTCCCTAGACCCTTTCACCAGAGCAGATCTCCCCAAGCCCCAGAATTTTCCAGACAGAAGGTAAATATTCCCTCGGAGTCCAGAATGAGGCTTCTCCACTATCTAGGGGTAGGCTGTGGTAGAAAGTATGTGGGCCTTGGGGTCAGCCAGGCCTGGGTTCAAATCCCAGCTCTGCTACTCACCAGCTGTGTGGCCTCAGGCAAATCACTTAACATCTCTGAGGCTGTTTCCTCATGTGAAAAGTGGGGATGATAATAGCACCTCTTTCCATCTCACAAAGTATCATGAGAACTAATTAAGATGATGGGCATGAATATATTCAACACATTAACTCTCTGGTGCTTTAAGAACTCAGCTCCAGACCAGGAACTGATTGGGGCCCCTGGGACCCAGAGCAGGGAAGGGCAGTATTTTCTCTTGCAGAAGGATCCAGAACACAGGAGAGAAGCAGAAGGGAGGGAAATGGAGGCCCCAGGGCCACTAGAGATGAGGCAGAGGAATTTGGAGAGAAGAGACGGCAGGATGGGTAAAGGACCAGGAGCGCCTGCCTCTTCTGCACCCAAGGATGGAAAATACGGACCCCAGTCCCTTAGCCAGCCCTATTCCTCCAGGAAAGACCCCAGCAGCCAGTGTCCAACCCTCTCCCTGCCCAGCCCCCTCCCCAGCCTGTTTCCACTACTCCCTCTCACCGCTGAGTTGAACCTCAGGTGACAGATGTTACAGGAAATGAAGAGCTTCTTCTTCAGAGGGGAGGGGACCCCAAACGTGTGGCTGATGACAGCTTTCTGGATCGGGTCCATCTGTGAAGGGGGTGGGAGGGCACAATAACGCTGGGGTCGGCTCTGGAAGGGGAGGCAGTACAAAATGCCAGAAACTACAGACTATTAAGGACGGCAAGCATCGGGACATAGGAAGAACTTCCCCATCCCTGTGGATAAGAGACACACAGAAACAATCTCTTCCCTGGCTGACCTTCTCTGTTCGCCCGGGCTTCAGCTTGGAGGCAGGGGGGATGGCCAGGGTGAACTCCGTGATCGGGAGAAAAACAACCATGTCCCGGTGATCACCTTGGCCTCTCTTGCTGCCCCACTGGCCTCCGGTTTGGGTTTTTTTTCCTTATTCACAAAAATCACAACTATTGGGACAGAGTTGGGGGCAGGGAGAAACAGGGACGGGACAAAGAGTCTCTCTGTTGGTAATCCTCTCCCATAACCCAGCCTTGTGCTGGGCCTGTGGGCTGGGGGAGAAGGCTTGCTTATCTTTTCAGCTCTGCCACTTTCACAGGGCCCGAGGGGGGAGTGAGGGCATGGCCAGGGCAGGTGGGGGGCCAGGAAGGGGCAGGTTGCAGCACGTGCAGGCCAGACGGTCCCTGAGTTGTAGGATTATTTCTTTGGTATATTAATTTATGTGGGGGGGTTTTTTCCCCTCTTCCTTAACTTTTTTTTTTTTCCCTTCTATCAAACGAAGCCTTTATGTTCCCTTTCCTCAGGGGCTGCTTGCTGGACCAAAAGCAGTTGTCTGGGCTTGCTTATCAAGAGGAACTTTCCAGACCTCCCTGAGAGAAGAGAACAGAGGCTTTGAGAGAAAAGCATGGTTTCAGAAACTCCCTAGGGAACGGAACGAGGGTCTAACCCTCACCTAACAGCACCTGGGGCTGGGGGCAGGCAGGGGACAGGAGCACGGCCTGCCCGGGGGCCCCCAGAGATGCGGGCAACAGAAGCTGTACCCACTCCCAAGGGACTGTGTACATGGTGCGTCCGCAAGTGAAGAGAGGACCAAACAACAGGGGACCCTCCCCAAATGGCTCAGGCTCCCGTGGACCTCTGTGCGACGCTGGAGGTTAGAAAGGAAGGGACTCCTAAGGATGACTGAGACTGAATTTCCCACCATCTTGTCAGGATGGGCTGGGGCTCCTTGATGATTACATTTGATGTTTCAGAATTAAAGAAAGGGGGGGTACTTCTTATAGTGAAGTAAAATTCACGCTCCCTGCACTTGTCATTCACACACACGCACATGTGGAAATACAGAGACACAGAGCACAGAAGCCTACAGGCAGGTACGAATCACAGAGCCATGCAGAAAAATGCAGACCCAAAGGAGTACGAATGGCATACTTCACAGACACGCTCACAATCACCCAACCCCCCCACACACACACTCAGAGGTCAGACACACACCAAACACGTACAGAGTCAACACAAAGACAAAAAATCTCTCAGAGACATAGGCACATACGTTAATTACATAGTTACCAAGGCGCAAGAGTTGTTTACAAATACACACACATCCACAAGTATCACACAAAGACCCACAGAAACATAAACTAAAACAGAAGGGCACACCCCAGACATACAGATGTCCCTCTACAAACACTCAAGTGTAACCTCCAGGCCACAGGCCCAGCAGTCATTACCGGGGGAGGGGGTGACACCATCCTCATTCCTTGGCCTCGGGGAAAGCTGGACCCAGGGGTCCCTGTTTTGGGAGTGCCCAGTCACTCTTGGGGATGCTGCTCCTACTTATACCCACCTTCCAAGAGCCAGCCCCTCTGTGCCCACCTTCCCTGCCCACCCCCAAGCTCGGCCGCATGCCCCCACCCACCAGCCCAGCCCGTACCGTGCTGAAGTTGGGGGTGAGACTGAGCGGGGTGGCGCCATTGAAGTGGAAGGCGAGCAAGTGCTTGAAGTCCAGCGGGGGCTGCAGAGGCCTGGCAGGCAGGGGCAGGGAGGCCAGCAGGGGGCTGGGGGCACTGGAGGCTGGGCCTGCTGCAGGAGGAAGAAGGGCAGGGTCTGAAATGGGGAGCCACAGGGCTCACAGTGACCTCCACGGCCAGAAAAAGAGGCTGGTGGGCTTCTTGGGTGTGGAGCCAGGGCAGAAACTCCCTCTTCACAAAGCAGCACTGGCTAAGTCCGGGGCACTCACAGCCCATTTCTGTGCCTCTCCTCTCCACAATGGGGGTAGCAGAAGCAGGGAGAGCACAGTTCTCAGTTCCCAGCCCCGAAGGATGCCCCTCCCATCCCCTCCAGAGGCAGCCCGAGGGCCCCAATGAACCCCAGCTGGGAATCAGGCCAAGGGAGGGGCAGAGGCGTACACACACACACACACACACACACACACACACACACCACCATGGAGACTGTGTGATGTACTGGGTTTCCATTTATTGCAAGTTAAACCCAAACCCAGGGGGCCTGGGGAAAGGCCAGCCCCCTCCCCTCTCACTAACTGCCCCCCTCTCAATCCCCACATCATTTGCTGCAGGGGCTGACAGAGAAGACGGGAAACCCGTTGGAATCTGAAGGGATGTTGTCCCCTAGCTCTGTGAGGCCCCAACTCCTTCCAGAAGGCAAAAAGCCCTCCAACCCCTGGGTCAGGCCTGAGGCTGGTCCTCAGAGTTGGCCGGTCCAGCCCTGTGGTTTTAGGTCTTTGGTCTTAAAGGTCTGAGGCAAGGGCAGGGAAAGGCTAGGAACTTTGGGGAGCAACCAGACTCTGAGGAAGAATTAGAAATAAATCCAGTCCATCGGGACTTTTCTGGACCCTGTCATTGCAAAACCGTAAGAAGTCCTTTCAGATTTTTTGTGTGTTAACAATATGCAAGATAGGTTTATTTTACATTTATAGATGTATATGTCTATATACACAGCCATATGCAGAAGAGCCTCACGCAGTGGGTAGGGGAGGTAGGGCACCACTACCTCCCTTGAACTGGTAGCTTGTGCACAGAGAGGGTGCTGTGCTGTGTGTCAAAAACAAGGAAGCCATCTGCTCCAGTTCTATCTGAAGAGAGGAGATGCTGTCAGCAGGGGAGCTAACAGCCAAGAACCCACTCTCCCTTCCCTCAATCCCTCAATTCCTGAGACCCAGTCTTCCTCTCTCCCTCCAACCAAGACTCTTCAGTTTTTCTAGGGCCCAAATCTGGGCTTGGTCCAGACGGAAAAAGGTGAGCTACTCCTCACCAAACTCTGGCAAGGGCAGGAGCGATATTGAGGGTGCCCCCAAACCTAGCATCTCTGCCGGCTCGCCCAGGCCTCCCGTGACGCAACCCTTCCTTCACAGCCCACGGGGCACGGTCAGCACTCAGCACTGAGCGGAGGAAGCCCGGGGCAGGTGGGTGGGAGGCCACGGTGAGGCGGTCAGCTTGGGTGTAGCACGGTCAGATCCGCCTCGGCCCCTAGACTAGCGCCCAGGGCCCCAGGCTGACTGGGCGGAGGGAAGGCGGCCGCCCTCACGGGGGCTGCGACCCCAGGAGCCCCTCCGCCCACCCACTCTCCAAGAACTCCACGGCCAGCGCAAAGTCAAACTCGTGCAGCGGAGGCCCATCCACGGCGATCTTCACCGCCGGGCCGCCCCGGCCCTCCCCGGCCCCGCTCTGCCCCCACCACCGCAGCTCCCGGCTGCGGCCCACCTTGTCCAGGAGGCCGGCGCCCGCGGGCATTGCCAAGGCCAGGGCGGCCAGGGCGGCGAAGTCCGGGAAGAGCTCGTGCAGCTCAGAGCGCGCGCACGCCAGCTTGGCGCACAGGGCCCGCGGGCCCAGCCGCCCCAGGCTGCGCACCACGCGCTTGAAGAGCGCGAAGTCGCCCAGCGCCCGCTGGCGCACCACGGCGGGGGCGAAGGTGCGCAGCAGCACCCGCAGCGCCCCCTCGCCGTGCGCGCCCAGCTCCTCGGGTGCCTGCGGGTAGCCGCGCGGGTCGAAGATCGCCGCGAAGGCGGCCACGGCGTCCAGCGAGGGCCCGGGGTAGGAGTCCCACAGCCCCCTCCGCATGGAGTCCAGGAAGGCCCCCCGCAGCCGTTCCAAGCCCCGCACGGCAGCCTCCGAGTAGCCGACCAGCTCCACGCCGCGGTAGGTGCAGCGCCCACCGCCCAAGTCGGGGCCGGAGGAAGCCAAGTCCTGCAGGAAGCCCTGGAGGCGCGCCCCACCCGAGATGCGCTGCGCTTGGAGGGAGGCCGCGGCCGCCATCACCAGCGGCTGCAGCAAGGCCAAGTCCGGCTCTTCTGGCTGCAGGACAAGGGCGAGCTTCTGCACGGTGGGCAGAGTGTCCAGCAGCAGGTAGGTGAAGGCCACGAAGGTGAACTGGCGCAGGGCGAGGGCCAGTGCCCTAGCTGTAGGGGAGGCTGGGGCAGAGGCCTCCAGTGTGGGCACCAGGCAAGGCCAAGCCTCAGCCACTGCTTCCACGATAGGCAGCAAGGACGCCCAGGGCACTGGCCGGGGTCCCGCCAAGTCAACAGCAGCAAGGTCCAGTGCCGCCCGGAGCTCGGGGACCGTGTGGGAACTGGGGCCACCATGCAGGCGGAATAGGGCATCCAGCACACTTTCATATTCACTTAGGTAGGCCGGGGGCTCAGGATCTGTCCGGCCCGGGAGGCAGTGTAGCTCGGTGAGCAGTGGGCAGGCGGCGCGGAGTTGTGGGCCCACGTGCCCAAGGCGGTCCCTGGGGAGGCTCGAGCTGAGCCAGGCCAGCTTGGCTGCAGACACACCGAAGGCCTGCAGGATGTCCAGGAGTTGGCCAGCAGTGGCCTCACCCTCCTGTAGTGCCACACTGCCCAGGAACGTGGTAGCCGGCTGGCCATCACAGGGGGACACCGAAGTGGCAAACAAGGCCAGACTGTGGGACTCAGGCCAGTCCCTGGTCTCGTCCAACACCAGCCCCACATACGGGGATGCCTTCAGGCGCTGGCAGGCCTCTGTGTGCAAGACACTGGCCATGGCCACCTGGGACAGCCAGGGAGAGAAAGGGAGGGACAGAGTTAGGCTTGTCCTGAGCAGGGGAGGTAGCAGTACAGAAGACAGAAAGGGCACAGGCCTCGGGCACAGACAGACTAATCCTGGCCTGGCTGCTTACTGGCTGGGTGAGCTTGGGCAAGTCATTTCACCTCTCTGAGCCTCAGTTTCCTCAGCTCTGAAATCAGGCTACTACTTGCCTCTCAGCTCCTTAAAAGGTTGTTGTCAATTAAAAATGTAACTTTCTGTGGCTGTGCTGGTAAGTGTAAAAATGCTTGAGGAACCATAAAGATTCTGCAGTATTTTGTGTGTGTCTCTACAGCATGGCCCCGGTTCCTATTCCTGGGGGTCTCCCTCCACTCTGCGCTCAGGAATTAACTCACAGACATGTTCCCTCCCAGTTACATAGAGCCCCAACTGTGTGCTGTTTGTCCGCGTGTCAGCTCTCTGTAGGATGAGATCTAACTCCCCCACCCTCTCGCAAGTCCCTAGGACTCACACACCTGGTACCTAGGACAGAACTGCAACTTGCATGCCCCGAGGGGCCACGTGGGTGGTACTGGGCTTGATGTGGGCCAGGGATACACCAAAAGGAATGGAGAAGCCGTGGGTCTTCTTCATGCCCTGAGGGCACAGGGACCTAGCTTTTCAGAAGTCACAAACCCACATTTTCATATGTAATCTCTCTCTCTTTTTTTTAACTTGGAAACTAAGTGAGGTTTTCCAAAAACACTGTGAAAATCAACAAGATACATCTGTGGGCCAGTCAAGCCCCCAGGCTACCCAGCTTGCAATCTCTGGCCTCTGCTGGGAGGGAAAGCCCCTCTGCCCCACCCCTGGGGACAGGGCCTGGTCTGGCCTCTTCGTGGCCGTGCCCCCAGCAGCTGGCCCAGGGCCTGGCACATAGCATGGCTCTGAAAGATTCTGCTGGGTGAAGGTATGAATGAAGCTCTCCGGCTCCTGCCCGGGGGCCTGGCATGTTGGCGCTGTGCCCAGAGGGCTCGATGTCCTCCCTCCTCAAGCCCTCCCCCACACCTCTGGCCACCACCCACCTGCATGTCCCTCACCCTCCTGGGGCTGTAGCAGTCGCCGTGCTCTGTGCCCAGCAGGGCCTGGCACAGGTTGAACCTCTGCAGCTCGAGCAGGGCGGAGCAGCGGTCGTCGGGCACGTCCTCCTTGGCCATGCAGTACACCGTGGTCAGCACGGCCACTTTGGCTGGGTCCACCTCCATCTTGACGCCCCTGGAGGTGGGGGGCGTCTCCAGGTCTGGGTAGGCCCCTCCTCCCTCGGCGTGGCCCTCAAAAGTGGGCTGGCCCCGGTTGACGGCCAGCGCCTGGCGGTGGGCCCCCGAGGTCACGTGGCGCAGCAGGGCGTGGCGCTGGAAGTTGTCGGTGCCCACGGTGAAGGCGTTCTCCGCTTTGCCATGCTTGTTCCGCACCAGGGCCTGGCGGCACTCGAGGCAAAACATCAACTTCCGCTCATAGTCGAAGTCCAGCCAGGGAAACTCCTCTTTCCAGTGCTCGTTGAAGTAACGCTTGCACTTCTTGTTGGAGTTGGAGGCCTCTCCGGCGGGTTTCTTCCCTGGGGGCACCATTCCTGCTCGAGGGGCAGGGCACCCCCAACCCCCACCCAAGTGCTCTGGCCCCCCAGCCTCCCCCTACACACCGCGGCACCTCCCTTGACAATGGAAGTTGGTGGGGAAGGCAGGAGGGGAGCACGCTGGGCTAATGGGGACCATCCATCTAACTTAGCTGGGAAAGTTTATTCCTGCTCCTCCGGTGGGAGACTGGAGATGAAAGAGACAAGGGAGAGGTGTTAGGGGGTCCACCGTGGGTTCATGCTGCCCACAGAGCACTCCCCAACTGACCGGGGCACAGCACCTAACGGGGAAGGGCTCCTGGAATGGGTGGGGTCATGCCAAGGGCCACAGAATGTCATCCAAAGTGGGGGGAGGCCTGGGGGCCCCAGCCCACTCTGAGGGTCTCCCTCCATCCGGGACAAGGCCCTGATGAGCTTTGACTGTTGAAAGCATGGCAGAACTCGGCTCTGGAAAGACTGGCACCAATCTGTGCAACTGAGTCCAGGTGACAGCGGTTCCCAGGGCTCATGAATAATCTGTGACTGAGCCAGGATCGGACCTTGACTCCTCATTCAAGGATGGCCAGTCTCTTCAGTCCACAATCATTTATTTCATGAGAATGAAGTTAGCACAAAGCTGAGATCCCAGAGCCACGGGGCCAAAGAATGGCATTCATTTTCACCGGGCCTCCCTTCCCTAAACCTATACATGGCACACTCAAACGCACACATGCACCCTGATAGTGTGGTGCTGGGTAGGGAAGCCCAGAAGTGGGGGCGGGCCCCAGACTTAAGGGGCTAGCTGGCCAACTGTACCTTGCTCACTCTTCCACCACCCCAGGCATGAGGCCAGGTGAGCAGTTCAGGACCAGAGGCCACGTCCTGCCAACGGCCAAAACCAGACACCTCTACCTCCTTACTATCCCTCATCCCTGTCCCCTAGATGCCCACTCGTAACGACAGCAGTAACTACCCTTTGTCAAGTGGGAACTGCGTCAGGCCTTGTGCTAAGGACTTTGCAGTGACTCCATGAGAAGACCAAGATTACTCTTGCAAGTACTCTGTGAGGGTGGTAACCTCCTCATTTTGGAGAGGAGGAAACCAAGGCTGGGGGACCTTAAGTGACTTGCTCAAGGTTCCACAAGCAGAAAGTGGCCAAGGCAGAGTTAGAACCTACGTCCAGGGGCGCCTGGGTGGCTCAGTCGGTTAAGCGTCTGACTTTGGCTCAGCTCATGATCTCAGGGTCCTGGAATCGAACCCCGCATCCAGCTCCCTGCTCAGTGAGGAGCCTGCTTCTCCCTCTCCCTCTGCTCCCCACCCCTCACTCATGCTCAGTCTCTCTCAAATAAATAAATAAAATCTTAAAAAAAAAAAAAGAAGAAGAAATCTACATCCACTTGACCCCAAAGGCCAAGCTGAGACTCTGGCCTGCACTGTCTCACCTGGATTATACATCTGCCTCCACCTTTGCAGTCACGCCCCCAAATTCGTCCCTCCCTCAGCATCCAGAGAACCAGCTCACACAAAGGTCACTCCCTTGCTTCCACCTCTTCGCAGGTGTCCTAAGTGGTTGCCTGAATCTACACACCTCACCATGAGCCAGCAAGGTCCTCCTCAGCCTCCCGCTGCTCCTGGCTGCTCGCCAGCTCCAGAGGCTCACCATTCCTCCCACACACCCAGCTGTTACTCTGCTTCTGCCTTCATCCTCTGTGCCTGGGATTTCCTATCCCTCCTCCCTGGCTAATTCCCATTCATTCCTGGAGAGCAGCTCTGCATCCTCTCTGCCACCCGGATCCCCCCAACTGGGGCTGGTGCCTGTCCTTTAGTCTCCCATAATTCTCTGGGTGTGGGTCTTGATAATACAATACGGTAAACTCAGGGTTTCTCTATGTATCTCTGCACTTGGTTCCTAGAAGGTCAAGATCACGTTTGTTCATTTTGGGATCCCTAAGCCCCTGTAGAGGGCTCGGTATGAAGATGCCTTTGAGCAAAAGTTTGTTGTTTAAGAGAACGGAAGGACTGATTTGGGCTGTATGAAAGAACTGCCTGTTTCTAAGGCTACTGGTTAGATGACTGGGCTCTGAGAAAGCAGTGATTGTCTTGTCCTCCTGATATGCCCAGCACCCTTCATGGAACCTAGCACTTAGTGGATAAGTAAAGGGCAGATGAACAGAATGCCAGGGGCAGCCTGTTCAGTGCAAGGGAAGGTGCTCCCTATTGCCCGATGCAGTGAAACTCTCAGTGGCATTTGGGACTGCTCACCCCACCCTCCCTGAAACATGCATTTCTCTTGGCTTCCAAGACCCTATGTCTCCCAGCTTTCCTTTCCCCCATCAGCACCCCTCCGCCTCTGATGTCATCTCTTCCTCCTTTTCCTAACCTAAAACTGTCCAGAAAGTTCAGAACCATGTCTGCTGGTCACCCTGAAATAAACCACTCCAGCCGGAGCCACTCCTCTGGGTGCCACACCTCTCCATCCAACCACTTTCCTGGCTTGTCTAGATGGAGCTGTCGATCTGTCCCTACAGATATGCTCCTCTCCCAGTCATCCCCATCTCAGGAAACGCCTGCTCTCCTACCCAGGTGCTCTGGCCAGAAAGCTGCCCCTCCAGCCCCTGCTCTCTTCCATAACCTGGAGCTGGTCTATCCACAGGTGCTGTTGGCTCACCCTCCACAATCTGCCTGTAACCTGTCTCATCTCTCCATGCCGCTGCTACTAGCCTTGTCCAGGGCACCTGCATCTCTTGCCTGGACTACGGCAGTCACTTCCTGATGGCACTCTGGGCTTCCACTCTTACCCTTCTCTGAGCCGTCTGGACCAATAACAGCTGGAGGGGGCTTTTGAAAACATACTGCTTAAAACCCCTCTGTGATTTCTTGTTGTCTGAGGCCAGTGGCAGGATCCCTTTCGAGGTCTGGTACTGCTGACGTCTCTGGTGGCCACTTGTGCCTCTCTCCCCTTCCTGCTACACCAGCCTTTCCTCAGTTCCTCCAGAGTGCCAGGTTCCTGTCCCCAGGGCCTCTGCACATGCTGTGCCCTCTTCCAGAATGTCTCCACCTCCTCTCAACACTTTGCCTATTTCACTTCCCCTTTGGTCCCCTCTTCCAAGGAGACTTCTTTTTCCCTTCCCAGGAGGTCCTTTTCTTTTCTGTCACTATTTCCTGTTTGTTCCCTCACTGTACTCCTCACGGTTTACAAATTTGCTTATTTTCTCTGCATTTCTATTGCTTGGCACGCTCTCTCTCTCCTTCTCCTTCTTCTTCCTCTCTCTCAAGAATGCAAGCTTCCTGAGGACAGGAAAGGTAACTAACCTGTTCACATCTGAACAGAAGGGAATGCTGCCTGGCACCCAGCAGGTGCTCCACAAAATTTGGGGAGTGAATGAATAAGGAACCACCAGCTTTCAAGCAGAGAGAACAATGAGTGCTGTCTTGGGCACCTGTTGGGTGGCTAAAACAGCTGCCTTTGACCTCCTTTCCTCCCAGGATCCCATGATTCTGTGACCCCATCTAGCTCACCACCCAAAGGATCTTAGAATGTGGAGGAGGTGCAATTCCAAGGTGGTACCCTTTGAAAGTTTGTCAGCTCCTTTCCATATACCTAGAACTGGCTATCCTGCCCCATTCTGCAGAGGGATAAAATTACTATGTGACCTAGGATGTTTTTGATCAAAGAACAGACGAGTAGGTAGGGAGGATGCATGGGAAGATGGATTCTGAAACTGCACCGTCAGATACGGTAGCTAGTAACCACATGTGGCTGTTTATAATTAATCAGAATTAGAAAAACATTGTAGAATTCCTCAGTCTCTCTAGTCACATTTCAAGTTCTTGATAGCCACTGGCTACTGTATGAAATGGCCCAGACAGAGACCATTGACTTCACCCCAGAAAGTTCTATCGGACAGCGCTACTCTAAAACAACCCAGCCAAAGTTACCTCAACCTGAGGGAACCAGGCTGGACGGGGTGGGCTGTAAATAAAATGTGACTATGTGACCAAGGCTGACCAGGGCGGTGCACCTGTCAGGCCCAGGTCCCCCACACCTCTCTGCACCCTGGGCACCTAGACGTCAGCCGCCACAACTTGTGGGGCTCCTGGAGTGACTGTGTATTATTGGTCTCTGGTCCCCACTCCACCCTGGCAGGTCAGCCTCAAACACAGAGCTTATGTGGCCCCAGGGTGGCAGTCCCCAGCCTCCTCCTCCCCAGGGCCCTTTGGGCCCTTTCCCTTCGGGAGCCCCTAGGGGGATCTATGCTCCAGGTCGGAGGACGGGCGAGGTGGGAGCTCCCTGCTCGCCCCAGACCAGGACACGGAGGGCTGGGGAACTTCCTCTGGGGGGCGCGTGGTGGGGGAGCCCTCGAAGGTCCCGGAGGCCCCCGCCTCCTCCCGCGCGGCTGCCCCGCCCGCAGGGCTCCCACCGGTTGGCCGCCCCCCCACCACCCGGCCGGAAGCTCCGGGAGGGGGCGCCCCCCTGGCCCGGGCACCGCGCCCGCCGCACACACTCACGGAGACTCGGGAGCCACCATCTTGCGCGGTGGACGCTCTGGCCGCGGTCTCCTTGGGCCCAACTGAGCGACAGCAGCCACTAGCGGTAACCGGGGCGAAGAGGCGCCAGCAGCCGGCGAGGGCCGGGGCGGCGGGCAGGGCGGCGGCGCCCTGGGGCTCACCTGGCGCGGCTGTCCCCCCTGCGCGCGCGCTCAGCAGGCAGCGGGGACCCCGGAGGTGAGACCGCCGGAAGGGTGTCCCGCCAGCGGGAGGGACAGGGTCATTCATTCATCACGGGCACCCACCAGTTCTAGAGCAGCTCCCAGGTGAGAGCTCCCAGGTGAGAGCCAAACAGGTAGAGTGCTAGGGAGGCACCGGCAAAATGCTTTGGGATCACAGGGGAGCAGGGAGGAAGCCGACGGTCTGCGGGGAGAGGCTATTAGGTTTCACTGCAGGATAAGTCAAGTTTTAGCAGGGGAAGGGCATCCCAGGCAGTGGGCCTGGCTCAGCACCCATGGGGAATTGAAAGTGCAGTGCAGGTTCACAAAGGTCAAGGCGGAGTGGAAGTATGGAGGGGAGGGGGCGGGGCCTGCTGCTGGAAGGCTCTGCAGTGAGTACTGGGGAGTTTGACCTTCTCGCCTCCTGGGGAACCTCAGGAGAGGGGTTCCCTGTGTGGGTTCCCAGGTGAGGGGAGGAGAAGGTGGAGGAATGTGGAACTGTGGCGGCCATCCCTCCCAGACCTGGAGTCCAGAGGCCTGCAGTGGGGCTCCAGTGACATTGAACTCTGAGGCCTTGGGCTAGACACTTACCTATGAGCCTCAGCTTCCTCCATCTGTGAAGTGGGAATTACAGCTGGGTGAGGAGGAAAGGGCAAGGCAGGGATGGGTCTGAGGAACAAAGGAGCTAGGTGTGGAGGCCGTTTGAAGAGGGGGTGCTGCGGCACTCGGTGATTTAGTCTCCCCTTCCCATCAACACAATCATCCAGAAATGCCTTCCAGCCGCACCCCCCGCCCCAATTGGGTACACTTTTCTCCCACACAAGGCCTAGGGCACACGTTGATTTGAGGTCGGGACCTCTCCGGTGGCTTCTGGGAACTCCCCCAGCACCCTTCACACCGCACTGCTCTGTGCCACCCACCGTCTGCCGCTGACATTCACCGTGAACCCTGGCCCCCCCAGCTGCTGGGATGATGCATGAATCATGGCACATGCACACACACATGACCGCCTGGCTTGTGGGTACACTCAAATGAAGGGAGACACCACAGACCCAAAACCTGCCCCAGGAGGGTACCACACAGCCCGGCACCCATGAAAGGGTCAGGTATATGGCGGGGGGGTGGGGGGGTCTTCTGTGATGGCATTTTGCAGCAGAACACCCTAGCTAAGTCCCTCCCTTCTCAACCCTGGCCAGGGGTCCACAGCTGGGACCCACAGCTCATTGGACGGCTGCCTTAAGAGGGCAGGTTGTTGCTCTGGTCAAACACAAACTAGACAGAGTGGCAGAAAAGAGGCCACCCTCCGGGGTCCAACTGAGGCTGGGGCAGGGGCACAAAGCGGGTGTCTTATGAATTAACATCACTCTGGCTGCCACCCAAGGGAGAGGATCTGGGCAAACCTCATCCAGCTGTTTTGCCGTCACTTGGAAAGATACACAGAAGAGCACAGGGACACACACCCTGCAATCCACGGGCGACCACAGAAGGCAGGTCACAAACCCCAAGGCACACACTCACACACATCTCCTCGTGATGAGACCATCTAGGCACACTGATGTGTGCATATACAGAGGTGGTACCCGTGCAGAAATGGACAGACGCCCATGCCGGCTGGGGGCAAAGGCCGGCCCAGAGGCCACGCACAAGCATGCACGTACACAATGCACGTACACACAGACAGGCAAGATCAACAAAGACGCATTCAGATCGTATACACCCAGAGGGACAGACAGACACATGAGGACCCCCAGGCCCCTAGTAAGGCATATACAGATGATTTGAAACCATGCACACACCATCACAAAAAGAGGCATAGACACAAAGATCTATATACAGATACAGTTACCCAGAGATCAGTGTGTTCACACACGCTCTCTTACAAAATGAAATGCATCAGATATACACACAAGCTCATGTAGCCAGACCCAGAGTCTCTGTCTCTTGCCCCACCGCACGTCATAGGGGCAGATGGGAGGGCCCTCCCTGAGGTGCACGTGTATACACACACACACACACACACACACACATCTCAAATAGTAAAGCTGCCCTTCCTATCACAGAAGAAACCAAACTCTGAAGAAAATGGGAATCTCGGAGGGAGAGAGAGCCAAAGGCAGGGACTGGGGGGTTGATCCAAGATCTGTGTGCTCACTCCCCGGTCGGCTTAGGATTCCCACCATGGCCAGAATGCTCCCACATTCTCCAGAGCCCTCCTCCCCGAGCTGGAGGAAGACCCCCAAGACCAGCCACAAGAAGAACTCTGAGGGGCCTGGGTGGCTCAGTTGGTTAAGAGACTGCCTTCGGCTCAGGTCATGATCCTGGAGTCCCTGGATCGAGTCCCGAGTCCCGAGTCCCGCATCGGGCTCCCTGCTCGGCGGGGAGTCTGCTTCTCCCTCTGACCCTCCCCCCTCTCATGTGCTCTCTCTCATTCTCTCTCTCTCAAATAAATAAATAAAATCTTTAAAAAAAAAAAGAACTCTGAGACAGCCCTCCAGCCACCAGCCCTTGCCCTTGTGGAAGGGGTTCCCAAAAATACCTCTTAAAAGCTAATGGCTGTCTCCCTCAAAGAGTGCCAGGTAACCCCTGTGTGGAGAGGTGAGCCAGGAGACCATGGATAAAGGTGGGGGGCATTAGTATGGACCCCAGTGCAGTGGCTGCAGGAGCCACCCAGATTTCTGCCTGTCTCCCTCTGTTCACTTCTCTCTCTGCTGAAGTAATGACTCCCTCTTAAACAGTCCCCCGGCCCCACCCCCCCACCCTCCTTTGGAGGCTCCTGGCAGCCCCTCAGAGGCAGTTGAAGGTATGATTTGATACAAGGAATCTCTGGCACAAGCTCCTCAAACGTGCATCTGCCCCAAAGTGTAGTCCACCTCCCTCCTGCCGGGTGCACCTCCAGTTTCCTGACCAGTTCCGCCCTCCACCCCCACCCCTACCTTTGTTCCCAGCCACAGTGGGGGCTCCCCTGCCCAGCCCTGGACCTGGGAAAAGGTACCAAGAGTCAAATGGCTACCAGAATCTCTCCACAGACAACTTTTGGGGGCCAACAATGGCAAGAAAAGGATAGGGCAGGGAGAGGAGACACCCACCCTGGTCTGAGCCCCCTCCCCACGCTCTGGCCTCCCCAGCACTCACCCAAGAGCATTCTCCGCCTTTGGAGGCACCGCTGAGCGCGTCTGAGGAGCAAATGAAACCAGCCAGGGAGTGACAGAGGGAAGGGGTGGGGATGTGAGGGACAGGAGGGGAGGGCAGAGGGAGGGACTCCTGCTCCTGCCGGAAAGCACCGGTTGTAGGGCCCTTTCTCCCCTTGTCTGGAAGCAGCTGCCTGTTCCCTAGTTTCTCCCATCCCAACCAGGGTGGAAAGCACAGAGCACTTCCTGCCCCAAGGGTGGAGAATGGGGCAACTTTGGGGACTAGGGACAGGGGGCAGCCTCCATCCCCCTCCTCCCGAGAGTCCCTGTCTAGTGCCTCTTGTACTTAAGTGTAGAGTTGACCCTGCCTATAGAGACCTCCAGAAAGGAGGTGCTGCCAACCACTTCTTAGCCTGCCAGAAAGTTCTTGCTGAACTTTGAAGCCCTGCCTCAGGGCTTGCTGCTGCAGGAGCCCCCATTCTCCTGTCCAGCCTTGCTCATCCTCTGGCCCACCATCCCTTTACATTTACCTCCCTTTGCTGAAGGGGAAACTGAGGCCCAGAGAGGTGTGACCACTTCATCCCAGAGCACTGGCCATGGTGGTGGGGGAAGGGAGCCCCAGGGGCTTGCCCTTCTTAGTCCAGTACCTGGACCTGGACCTACTACCCAGGCAGTGCCAGGTGGGGTGGGGGGGTGTTCATTTGATCTGCTAGAACTTCTGACACTTCTCCCCTGCTCCAGACCCTTCCCTACCCCCCAGGCTCAGCTCTCCTCCATTTGCTCCTTCCTCCCCCTCCTCTTCCCCACTAAGAGCCAGCTCTCTACTCACCTGAGCACCTGGTGGCTGGGAGGGGTGGAATGGGGGAGAGGAGGCAGCCAACCCACAGCTGGATCCAGTCTGGCATTCCAAGCCCAGGCCCAGCGCTAGCCGCCCACCCCCCTCAGCATCCTGTCTCCACCAGACAATAACCTGTAATCTCTGGGGCAGCCAATACAGCCGGCAAAGGGTCTGCGGAGGGGTTGGCAGCAGCAGCTTCTGAAAACAGGTTTGTTAGGAAGAGGCTCTAGGGGGAAGGAGTTGCTCGTTTGGGGAGAGGAAGGAAACTCAAGCCCAGGGCTAATTAACCCACCCAGACACAGACGGAATCTTTGTCTTCTTGAGGGCAGGGATCTGAGCTAAGCCCCCTAATTCTCCACCCAGACAACCTTGCATTTCCTGGTGGTCTCTGGTAGGGGGAAGGGTCTGATGGTCAGGTTCACACCTGGGGGAGGGGGACGTGATGGCCGTCCAGGGAGAGCGAGGGGCACTTCCATCACCTGCCACTTAAGGAGAACAGCAGCAGGAGGAGCTGGTTAGACTGCAAGAAGAACTTACCAGTGGCCTTGGGGGAGCCCAGTGTCTCCAAAACATGCACCCAAAGGCCTCGGGATGGATTGGGGGGCACTGAGGAGGAATCAGCAGCCCAGGGAGATATGGAAGCGATAGGGGGGACAGGCTGGAGGGTTTCCAGGGCTTCCTGATGGGACTGAAATTAATCCATCTGCAGGGAGTGGGGGGTGAGGAGCTCATCAAGCCGGTGACTCAGGCGTGACCTGAGCTCAAGGTCTTTGATCTCGGGCTCAG